GTTCTCGGCCTTGTGAGTCTCGATATACTGTTCGCGAAGCTCGGATGACTTCCTCAAGCTAGGGGCGGGCCAATCAATCCCATTCTCTGCGTACATGGAATCACAATAGGTGTACAGATCGTTGGTCCACGCATTGAGCTCCAAGTTGCGTGCCAGATCATCTGGGACCCATCCGTCGCGGATATAGAACCACGCTCTAGCCGAAGCGCGCTGCAGCATCAAACGACATTGCTGCTCGTAGTAGGCGACTTGCTCCTTGAGGTTACCAATTCGCAAGTAAGCGGGACCAAACAGCGGATCTGCAGCGTCCCGGATCCATTGACAGAAGAGAATCGTCATAACAAGTTCCATTCCGGGATCGTCAAACCCTCGAGATGGGCGGTGATGACCTTGCTGATAAGCTGCGCTCAAGATGCCTTCGCCGGGGAAGAAACTCTTCTTGACGAAGCAATCATGAAGAAGGCCAAGCAATCCATAGATCGTCACCTCGTACATGTTGTACCCATCCACCCACACAAAGTCCAGGTCCTCGATGTGAGGAATCCACTCGAAATAACGAGCATACAACATCTTGTTCACATGACTGTACCCCAGGATATAGCCTGCATGGCAATCCGAGGCGTCCCGGTTAATGATGGGCAGGATGTTGAACACCAGCTGAGGATCATCGCCGACATTGAAAGGAGCCAGCACCTCGTGGTCGAAGAGTTCTTGATAAGAACGTATGGTACACTCGGTCCCATCGAAAATGTACATGCTGTTCTTTCGGACGTGCTCGTCTCGGTCACGCTCGTTGCTGAGGAGATAGAGATGGTAGTCAAGGATGTTCCAGCCGGGGCGAAGCACGAGGCCGGGAACAGGTCTCGCTTCCAGATCGGACGCGACAGACTCTCCAGATCCCTCAGACTCGGTATCAAGCCGTTCAATGATTTCTTGTGTGTCTGGGACGTTTGAGAGGCTTTCCTCCGACAGGTTCAACAGTGTCACTTTGAAGCTTTCACCATCGGGGCTCAAGGGCGTCTTCGGTGAGTCCTCAGGGGATGTGTCTTCTTCAGACCATGACTTCCTTCTGGCCATCTGCCAATGTTTCATCGTGAAGATTGGAGACCTGTCCTCTCTTAGTCGAGAGGTCACCGGAATATCTGCCATGGACTGCTATCACGGCTGGTCAGCACTGACCTGTATGATAGAAGGGAAACACAGGAAGCAGAACAGAAACCCATGACGTGACTCAGTAAGAACAACACTTACTGGTTTCACTATTTTGAGATGCTTCAGAGGCCTCGATGAGCTGACGAGAAGAGAAGAGAGACAAGGAACGCTTGTGAAGCACCTTGAAGCAGCAGCCTTGGTGGACCGAGACGAGGACAAGGAGGGCGGAGTCGACAGACGTGTTGAGGATGGAGAGGTAAGGGAGAGAGAGGGGGAGGGAGAAGATGGGAGAAGTCACAAAGCAAGAATCTTTCACACTTTATCAGGAGAAGTGAGAGGATGTGGATCTTCTCTGAGACGCCTGTAGAGATACAGTCACATCTCTAAAGGAAATGTGAGTACTAACAAAGATATCAAGGATTACATGAGAGTTCAGTTTCAGATTAATCCTCAGCTACCAAGTAACAGGATCATCTACGGTAGCCAGTGTGTGAGGATATTCATTCCAGCCAGCTATCTACTCTCTGTATAGAGTGATCGAAAGGCGATAGACCCGCGTGAAGTTCTGGGTTCAGCGATCCTGCGCTGCAATTTCCCCAACCGTGTTGTTAAAACGAGATCCATGCGGCACCTCTGCCGCATGGCCAACCGTAAGAAGAACGAAACACAGAGACGACATCATGTTGATTGGGGAATCAGAAAATATGAGGGTGGTGAATGTGGTGGTGTTGCAGGTTGCTCAGCTGTGATCTCCACTAAGTGACCCTCTCTGTTGTTATGACCCTCTCTGCTGTTACATAGCACCCCTCCAAACCGCGAGAAAGAGCCCCTACGTCCCCAAATTTCCATTCCCCATCGTTCTATAAAGCCAACACAAGCCGTTGTCTCTGAGACAAATGCAGCTGAGCTGCCTTTCCAACAGCCATCCATCCATCTGTCTTCCTATATACCACCAAAAAGACCCCTCTCACTGAGGAAGTCAGTCAGGATCCATCACAGCCGCTCGTTACCATCTCTCTAATGGGCCTCCTTAAGGAATTGTGTATAGGTTCCGGCATGCCGTCCACTCCACTACAGCTCCCATCCACCCCACCCGGCAAGGGAAAAGTTGGTTATAGTCAGAGAAGTCGAGTTGTCATCGGAGACTGCATGGTCGCGTGGCCAGTAGATCTCGTCGTGTTTTGCCTGGAGCGAGCTCGTTGCATGTGAGATGAGAAGAGTGGCCACTGGCCCTCTCTGCTTCGTGCTTGTCGTCGCAACGCCCAACGTCGCCTCTACTTTACAAGAAAAGCATGGTCGATGGGCTGTTCGCTCAGCACGAACCTTCCAGATATGCTCCCGTATAGAGTGGTTAGGGGGCAGTTGGCAGGGGAGTGGAACAAGCGACTAGGGTCAGTACAACTGTACTGTATTATCGAGCAAGGCAAAGACAGTTACGGCGCATTTACTCACTATAACTGAGCCGCTCCATCGAATCGCCGCCGTTCAGATGCAGCAGCACGCTGGTCACTGGCATTGAGAGCTGCCTGGGGACATGCCCCGGTACAATATAGGCTCGGGGATATCTGCTAACATTTCGTCAAGCCGGAAGGTTCGTCGAGGCCCCTGGGCTTTGGTTTTGTCTTCGATACTCTAAACATCTATTAGAGCGCGATCTTACGCGCCGGTCCAGGTTACATGATTCCTCACGATATGTGTATCCTTGTTTAATTCTCATTCTCCGTGGCTCGGAACTGATTCCCCACGTCACGCTAAGGTATTTCCATCAGATAAACCCATCCGAATCGTGATGCACTCTGTTGATCTAAGCTAGGATGATAACAACTGCGTGGCCAGACGATGCGACGACAAGACAGGAAAGACAATATGCAAATGTAATAGTGAGAATAAACATTCACACCGCATGCTAAATGCTCAACGCCAACTGTGTTGTGTATGTGTGTGCGGATGTGGTATCATCTACGCGCCTTTGCTGGCCAAAATGCGCAAGACACCGGGATATGGAGCGGCCAGCCAGGACAATCCCATGGCCGTGCTTCAGTGGGAAGTAGCGAATTCTAACGCCAGGTCAGAAGACGAACAAAATGCGAGGCTAGTCAAAGTAAATCAGAGTGGGGAGGCCTCCTCTAGCTCAGCTAGAGGCCTGCTGTTGTTGGCCCCAGTGACCTCCGGAAAGGGCCTCCGGCGGAATCCTTTGCTGCTTGATGAAAAGGTCGATCAATGGCTGCATGGGCTCCATTTCTTTGTCGGAGACCAGCTTGTAGTACTTCGCCACGGTGACGAAGTGGACGAAGCACATGTTCAGAATGTCGTGCTTGTTGATGTGCCAGAAAGGGTTCAACCAGTGTGCATGATAGAGATGAGCATAGCAGCGGAACATCTGCTTCATGATGCCCTGGCAATCCTTGTAGAACGTCTGCGGAAAGCCGCTGGACTTGCCGATCCACTCCTCTCCAGCAGTAGCGCTAGCGCCTCCAACTTCGTTGATCGCAAATGTCTCCGGCATGCCCGCGAATTTCTCTGTGGGGAACATGACAGGGTCATGGATCTTGCTGACGATCCATTTCTCAACGCGATTGATGAACTTGGGGGCCGAGATCTTGGCTGCACGGCCATCGACAAGCCATGTGTATGTCAACCTGTTGCACGAGATGACGGTTAGATAAGATCTGGATGATATTATCACGGGTCGCGTTCTACTTACCGACCAGCGGACATGGTGGGGCAAGTGTTTTCATTGCAGATCGGGAGTCCCGTGAGGCTGTTGACCTCCTGAATGACCTGGAGCATACCGTGGAGCAGGCGATATTGTTCAACAACTGGTTGATTCTACCATCAGCATCATAACCCTGCAAGAAAAAAGAAATAGAGCTAGCTGGTCCGCTTACTCTGGTGAGCCAGCCATTCGCCCAACTCCACGTTCTTGGGGCAGGCACACAACGTCAAGAAGTTGCCCTTCACATTCAAGGGCGCGTATTTCTCCTGGAAGAAGTATTTGGGAGCATCGGGGTCGTAGGCGGAAGAGGTATCGACCGAGAAGCTCGAAGTGAGAGACGGGGAGTTGGGCACATGGCCGGCGGGAGGGCCCTGAAGCGTTGGCGACGGAGCAGAACTTCCATTGTTCATCTTCGGGGCGTTGTTGTTGTTCTTGTTGTTGCCTCCCCTGCCAAAGCCTTGGCGACTAAACACCATATCGAATCGCGGGTCAGTGTCCACTGCTTTGACTATTCGAATGGGATAATAGAAGGGAAAGAAACCCCCGAGGAATATGGAATCGAAAGAGGAAGCGCATGGCGTGGCCTTTTGATAAGCAAGCCAGGGGCGTGATCATTTCGAATGCCTCTGACCATGCTGCGGCAAAGGGAATTTCAGGGGAGAGTGACCGTGCGGGATGGGATACATTCTTAGGGGAAGAGGGGGACCACATACACACTCTGGAAGAAGGTCGCCATGATGGAAAGCGGTGTATGCTCAAGAACACGGAGGGAAATGATGGAAATGAGAGAGGTAGGCGACGAGGAGAAGCCAGAATGAGGAAAGAGAAGAAGAGACGAAGAGCAGCGACGACAACCCAGAAGAATAAATCACGACTGGAGAGACCCAGACGGAGAGGAGAGACCGAGAGACAAGAGTCGGAGAGATGGAGTGAGTGAGTGATTGGGAGGGGGGCGATTGTTTCAGTTGCAACTGTTGGTGAGTCCCTCATTCGGTCCTCATTCGGTCTGGCCCGTTCGAGCTGCCGCCCTCCACTAAGCCTACTTGGGTTCGGATGGGATCATCCAGTTGTTCCGCTTCAATTCAACGGGAGTGCTCCGAGCTGGAACAACTTACAAGTTGAAGGGCATCATCTCATCTCCTACGTTATTCTCCGTCCCTTGTGTGACTCCTCTTTCACACCAGTCCAGGTTCCTTATCGGAGTGCCTCTTCCTTCAAAGACCCGTATTGGAAGTTTTCCAGCCACTCAATTGCAAGTTTGCGCTATACACAAGCTCTGACTTGCCAGTGCTCTTACGCGGCAACTATCAGCCGACCCCGGAACCTCGTTTAACACACTTGACTATTTTATATACACCGGAATGTCCTCCTCAGATGAGGATGTGGTCCGCCGCCCCGGGCGAGGTGCAGCAGCCGATCGACCGGGAAGCCCGTCGGGAAGCGAGCTCGGCTCAGATGCGGGCAACATGAACAATTACGACGACGCAGATCTCTTCGGCTCCGATGCTTCAGACGGAGGTTTCGGCGATGATAATGAGTACGGAAAATATCCGTGCTTGACTGGGTCCTGACATGAACGCTAACACACCACTAGACCACCCCAACGGACACTCGACGACGAGGAGCTCGACTCGGGGGATGATGTGGACCGCTACGATCGCGCCGGCGAGCGCATGGACTACGAAGATGGGGCCGAAGAACAGTTCCAGGAAACTGTGAACATCATGGATATGACACTGAGTCGCGCACCGGAGCCCTTGACTTCGAACGGCGAGGTACGCAAGATGACTATACCACTGCACACAAACGGAAGACTCACTCGCCCTTTTCACTATCTAGATATACACAATGCCTGTCCCCCCTTTCCTCTCGGTGGAAACCGAAGAGTTCAACCCAGAAACCTATGTTGCGCCTCCCTTCACAACCGCCGCCACCTCTCTTTGCTGGAGGCACGACCCCCAGGACGAATCCCTCCTTCAATCCAATGCTCGCATCATCCGCTGGGAGGACGGGTCCATGACGCTGCAACTTGCTTCGGCACCGAAGGAGCAGTACCGCATCTCCACGAAACCGCTGGCGCCGCTCAACAAAGCCGGCGAGTACGATGTCAAGCTGGATTCGCACGTCTACCTCGGTGCCGCCGCGGAGGCTTCCTCCGTCTTCCGGCTCACCTCCCACCTCACCCACGGCCTCACAGTGTACCCCACGACAATGGAGACGGATGATGCGGTGCAGCGGCTCCAGGAGTCGCTGGCTGCGGCCGCCCGCAGCGGCAAGAAGACGCTGGACGGATCGGCGCCCGTCATCGAGGTCAAGGAAGATCCCGAGCTGGCCAAGCGCCAGGCCGAGATGGCCGAGCGCGAGAAGCTCAAGGCGGCGCGTCGGCGCCAGCAGCTCGCAGACCGTGAGCTGGACCGTGGCCGGCGGGCTGGGTTCGGCCACCGCACCGGAGGCGGCGGTCTCACCGTGGGCGGCCTGGAGGATGACGATGGTTTGATGACGACGAGACCTCGCGCCAAGAAGGCGCGCAAGCCGAACCGTCGGGGCGAGATCTACACGGACGACGAGGAGGACTACGACCGCCGCGGACGCACCCGCGAGGACGAGTACGACGAAGACGACGGATTCCTGGTCGGAAGCGACGAGGAGCCCGAGATTGTGGACGATGACGACGACGAGGATATCCTCGAGGATGAGGACATGGACGCCGAAGGCGAGGACGACGATGCCCCGCCCGCCAGACCCCGTCACAAACGTCCGTCGCCCGACGCCAGCGCGAATACACCTCCAGCTCGGAAGAAGAACCGGTATATTGTGGATGATGATGACGAGGAGTAATGGGTTTCCAAGTTACTCACCGTTCTGACGTTGCTGTCTTCTTGCATCTTGCCTACGGCCACCCCGTACATTTGCTTTCATATGCTAATGACTTGTGTAACTATTATATCATATCTCTCTGGATACTTCATCGGCGCACGGCTGGTCATATTCGCCTGGGAATCTTCCGTGCTTTTCTTTTCTAACTTAGCATTACCGGACAATAAAAGAAAGTTGGCTTGCACCATGTCCCGTTCTGCAGGAGCATAGGCATATTTAATCAAAGTGTAGCTACTGGCTAGGTTCTAACAGTGGATGCATATATTAGTCTTGTAGAGACAGATAGTGCCCAGATGGCGGATAGAAGTGCCAGGCAATAGATTAGGATAACAGGCCGCTGCACCAGTATCGGCAGATAAGGCGGTTTTGTATATTCATATATCTTATTGTCTGCATAAATAACACAATGGTATCGAAAGAACAGATTTACGCTTCAATATCATGCACACATGGTAGTCGCGGATGACCACAAGCTACATCCCGCTGGTCACAGGCGTCGTTCCCTGCGGATAATCGGAGGGCTCGAATCCGAATTTGGCGATGACCTCCCTCGCGCTCTTGATGACGCGGAGGCATAGCAGTTCGCTCTCCCCTGTACTACAGTTTTGGACGGGCAGAAGGCGCTCCTCCGCAGGTAATGGATGCGACTGGTGCCATGATCGCTGGCGTGCTTCCATCTCCTCAACCAGGGCAAGGAGACTGGGTGTCTCCGTGACTTGGGGGGAGCCAGCGGGGTCGTAGGGCCCGCCGACGACCCCTCCTCGTACAGTCTGACGGAGCCAGTCTTTCCAGCCTGCTGCCGGATTAATCGACTGTTCGATCGTCGCGGCGTATGCGGGAGACGTCGTCTGCTTGCCCAGATCCACGGGGTTGGCCTTGTACACGCGGAGCCATGAATCGGCAATGACCGCAAGCAGAGTCCCGGTACACATGACATTCTGCATCCCCGTGCTGAAGCGCAGGGGGCATATTCGACAGCGGATGACCTCCCTGGCTGTTCTCGCGGCGATGTATAATGAGCAGAAGGTATGTTGCGAGATCGGGAAAGGAGCGAGGGAGGATAGGTGGCTGAGGCATAGGTAGAGACGTGATAGACATGAACATTGCTGGTCGGGCGAATCGGTGGGGTCGGGGGATGGATATGACACGTCCGGCGGCAGCGGTGTCAGACTAGCTGTCGCCGCAGAGACACTGGAGAAGTCCGGCCAAGGCGTGGTGGTCGTCGGTACACAGTTCAAAGGCGTTGCAAGATCCATGCGACTCGGTGGGCTTTGGGTGTCGTCCGCCAAGGGATCAGGAGGGGTCGTCTGTGGTGTATAGGCTGCGATCCCCGACTGAAAAGTGTCCCTCGGTGGGATCCCCATTCCCACAGTATCAGTTGACAGAATCTGACTGAGATCTGCACCTGTGTTCCATAGCCCGTTCTCTAGACCAAGCGACGAAGGATCTTCTTCCTCCCGTAAGCGCTTCTTCGGCGGTCGTCCCATCTGCTTCTGTTCCGAATAGTGGCAGAGTAGATCCTGTTTCAGACATCGTGTGCATCCAGTTTGTTCGCCGGAGCATTTCAGCTTGCGCTTCCCTAAGTTTGTCAGCCTACAGATGATGAGCCTGGGTCTTGTGCGTCAGGCATACTGCACTCATCACACGCAGCATGTCTTTTCACCGGCCGCGCCACAGTATCATTGAAAGTGCTGTCCGACAAGGCGAGTGGGGTCTGAAACCACTCGGGCTGAGGCTCAAACTGCGTCATGCTGAATTATTAACGTGATCCAAAGACTATAGCGCTGGACAGCAAGCAAACAAGCAAGCGCAAAAGAGGCTGCACGGTGGGCGACCATCCAAGACTGTCCGTGATGATCCACCGGGGTAATTAATGCTGTATTGTTGTATTATCGATAAACTTGCCAGAGCGGCGGAACGATAAGAGCGGGCGGTGTATCACGTGGGCGGTGGGAGAGCGCAAATCTTCCCGGCGCAGAAAAAAAAAAGTTGGAAGGCAAGGAATCCAGTCGCTCTCCCGAACGGTTGTCGTTGTTAAAGCACCGAACGCACTTTGCAAAGCGTTCTACCGCCATCATGGTTGCTTCAGCAGGCTCGAAGAAGCGTAAGGCTGTTACTCGAGATGTGGAGGAGGAAGCTGGCACCTTCTCCGGAGACGAATTGGCTGGAGATTTGAACGGCGCGCTGTCGGGCAGCGCCAATGATCTTTCGAGCGACGAGGACGATTCTGAGGTTGAATTGGTCGACGAATTCAGCAGTGACGAGGATGACGATGAAGAGGAGGAGCTTGACAGCGATGAAATCCCCTCGGATGGTGAAGATGCTGTCAAGAAGAACTCCGCCAAATCGACTGCAGCTCCCGCGGACGACGAAAGCTCGAGCGACGAGGCAGAGGTGAATTTCCGGATCGAAAAAGATGCCAATGGAAACGACCGCTACGTCTACGACGAAATTAACCCGGATGACAACTCTGACTACTCTGATATCGACGAGGACTCCAACACAATCGGCAATATCCCGTTGTCCTTTTACGACCAGTACCCTCACATCGGTTACGACATTAATGGAAAGAAGATCATGCGTCCCGCTACCGGGGAGGCGCTGGATGCGCTGCTCGATAGCATCGAGATCCCCAAGGGATTCACTGGTCTCACCGATCCTTCGACAGGCAAGCCCCTGGAGTTGAGCCAGGACGAGCTGGAATTGCTGCGCAAGGTGCAGATGAACGAGATTCCGGAGGACGGCTACAACCCCTACGAGCCCTTGATGGAGTGGTTCACCACGGAGAAGGAAGTCATGCCCCTGAGCGCTGCTCCTGAGCCCAAGCGCCGCTTCCTGCCGTCCAAGCACGAGGCCAAGCGTGTCATGAAGCTCGTCAAAGCCATCAGAGAAGGTCGTATCCTGCCTTACAAGCCCCCATCAGAGCAAGAGGAGGAGGACAAGGATCTCATCAAATATGACCTGTGGGCGGACGAGGAGGAGCGGCCCGATCATATCATGCATGTCCCCGCTCCGAAGCTTCCCCCGCCCGGCTACGAAGAGAGTTACCACCCCCCTGCGGAGTATCTCCCCGATCAGAAGGAGCGCAAGACCTGGGAGCAAGCAGACCCCGAAGACCGGGAGCGCGAGTATCTTCCCACCGACTTTGGCTCTCTCCGCAAGGTTCCTGGGTATGGCGAGTTCGTCAAGGAGAAATTCGAGCGTTGCTTGGATCTTTACTTGGCCCCCCGAGTTCGTCGCAGCAAGCTCAACATCGATCCCGAGAGTCTTCTCCCCAAGCTCCCCAGCCCCGAGGAGCTCAAACCCTTCCCGTCGATGTGTGCTACTGTGTTCCGAGGACACAAGGGCCGTGTTCGCTCCATTGCGGTCGACCCTACTGGCGTTTGGTTGGCGACTGCTGGCGATGACGGCACTGTTCGTGTCTGGGAATTGCTCACCGGTCGTCAGTTGTGGAGCGTTCAGCTGAGCGAGGAGGACGCCGTCAACGTCGTCCGCTGGAGACCCGGCAAGGATGCCGTGGTCCTGGCCGCTGCGGCGGGCGACGACCTCTACCTCATGGTGCCCTCCATTCTCGACCCCGAGCTCGAGCAGGCCAGTCTGGAGCTCCTCGACGCTGGATGGGGATACGCCGCCTCGAAGCCTGCTCCCAGCGCCACCGAGGAAGGCAAGAAGACACCCCCGCAGTGGATCCGCCCCTCGTCGGCCCTTACCGACTCCGGCGTGTGCGCGGTCATCCCTCTCCGCTACGTGGCCAAGTCGATCTCCTGGCACCGCCGCGGAGACTACTTCGTCACCGTGTGCCCCGGCGCCTCCACCCCGGCCTCCGTGGCCGTTGCCATCCACACGGTCTCAAAGCACCTCACCCAATACCCGTTCAGCCGGCGCATCAAGGGCGGCGGCCCGCCGCAGACCGCGCACTTCCACCCCTCGAAGCCGATCCTCTTCGTCGCCAACCAGCGCAGCGTCCGCGGGTACGATCTCTCGCGCCAGCTGCTGGTCAAGATCGTCCAGCCCGGCGCCCGCTGGATCTCCTCGTTCGACATCCACCCGACCTCCTCCACCGCCTCCGGCGGCGACAACCTCATCGTGGGCTCCTACGACCGCCGCCTGCTGTGGCACGATCTCGAGCTCTCGCAGCGGCCCTACAAGACCCTGCGCTACCACCGCAAGGCGATCCGCGCCGTCAAGTTCCACCCCAGCGGCCGCTACCCGCTGTTCGCCGACGCCAGCGACGACGGCTCCCTCCAGATCTTCCACGGCAGCGTCACGGGCGACATGCTCAGCAACGCCAGCATCGTCCCGCTCAAGGTCCTCAAGGGCCACAAGATCACCGGCGAGCTGGGCGTGCTGGACATCGACTGGCACCCCCGCGAGGCCTGGTGTGTCAGTGCCGGTGCCGACGGCACGTGTCGTTTGTGGATGTAGTAGTAGCTCTCATTTCAGCGCATACTTTTGTGTTGTTATCTCCTGTTTGCAGTTTCCAGATCTACATGAGAAAGGCGTTCTCGGTGTGTGTATATACATTTTTTTTTTCTTTTTTTTTTTCCCTTTTTACTCTCTATCTTTTCGATATCCATTTAAAAAGTTTCCTTCGCCGCCGCTGTCATATGTAGCGTAGGAGTAGCGCATCCATCGACGGGTTCGCTAGTTGAGGTAGCAACCCGAGGCCCTAGCCCATTCATCTGTACGGAGCTTATCTCCCCTCCACTCTTTACATACCACGCAACCGAATCACCACCTTTTCCAAGCTACCAAAGAACCATAGAGCAGGACAACGATACCAACAACCGGTAAATCTTTGGCAGGGAAGTCAACACCCGGACACCGCTCAGTCTATCTATCTATGTACAGTAACCTTCGTCCGACAACAGCAACGCAAGCCTAAACGACACCGCCGCTCCAGTCCCTCCTCAAACGCTCATACTTCTTCAGATCGGTCACACTGGGCCGAATGAACGCCTTGGCGGCGACAAAGTCCTCGAACTTGATGGCATCGCGGCGCTTGATGGCGGAGTAGCCGGCGCGGCGCAGCAGACTGCCGAGATCGGCACCGCTGAAGCCCTCGCACTCCTCGGCGAGGCGGCGGAGGTTGTCGTCGAACTCGATGGGCAGCTTGCGGACGAGGGTCTGCAGGATGTCGGCGCGCTCGAGGGGGCTGGGGAGGTTGACGAACAGCAGGGTCTCGAGGCGGCCGGGGCGCAGCATGGCGGGGTCGATGATGTCGGGCCGGTTGGTGGCGGCGATCACGTAGATGCCCTGGCGGCTGGAGCCGAGGCCGTCGAGCTCGGTGAGGAGGGTGTTGACGACGCGGGCGGAGGCCTCGGAGAGGGTGTCGTCGCGGCGGGGGACGAGGGCGTCCAGCTCGTCGAAGAAGATGACGCAGGGCACCGAGGAGCGCGCGCGCACGAACACCTGGCGCACGGCGCGCTCGGACTCGCCCACGAACTTGTTGAGGAGCTCGGGGCCCTTGACGCTGATGAAGTTGGCCCGCGACTCGTTGGCCACCGCCTTCGCCAGCAGCGTCTTCCCGCACCCGGGGGGCCCCCACAGCAGCACCCCCGTGGGCGCGGTGATGCCCACGTTGGCGTAGATCTCCGGGTGGCGGATCGGGTCCACGATCGCCGTCGACAGCTCGTCGCGGATCCCGCCCAGCGCCCCGATGTCCGCCCACGTCGTGTCCGGGATCGTCGCGAAGCCTTCCCGTTTGGACGACGGTTGGATCTTGGGGAGCGCGGTGAAGAAGTCCGCGTTCGAGACGAGGACCGTCTGCGTCTCGTCCCCGATGGGCGTGTCCTTGGCGTGGACGATCAGCCGGCGGATCTCCTTGACCTTGGGGCTGAGGTCGTCGGTCACGCTGAGGTCCTCGATGTCCATCATCTTCTCGTCCTCGGGCCCGCTGTTCTGTTTCAGGATCTCGAGGTACCGCTTGATGGCGGCCGAGCCGGCCGTGGCGACCAGGTCGTTGAGATCGGCGCCCACGAAGCCCGGCGTGCGCTTGGCCAGGAGCTTGAGGTCGAGGTCGTCGGCCAGCCGCATCTTGCGGGTCAGCGCGCGGAGGATCTGCTCGCGCACCGGCTCCGAGGGCACCGTCATGTTGATCTCCTTGTCGAAGCGGCCGCCGCGGCGCAGCGCGGCGTCCAGGCTGTCGGGCCGGTTGGTGGCGGCCAGCACGATGACGGGCTTGCCGTCCGTCTTCTCGAGCGCCAGGTCGTCCATGCAGGTCAGCAGCTGCGCCACGATGCGCTTCTCCATCTCGCGCTGCGCGCTTTCGCGTTTCGGCGTGATGGCGTCGATCTCGTCGATGAAGATGAGGCAGGGCGCGATGCGCCGGGCTTCCTCGAAGTACTCGCGCAGCGCCTTCTCGGACTCCCCGGACATCCCGGAGATGACGGAGGGCGCGGAGATGGAGATGAAGGGCACGCCCAGCTCGGCGGCGAAGGCGTTGGCGATCATGGTCTTACCGCACCCGGGGGGCCCGTGGAGCAGCACGCCGCGCGGCGGCTGCACGTTGGAGGACATGTAGACTTGTGGGCGGGTCATGGGCAGGATGACCAGATCTCCGAGCTGCTCGACCACATCGTCCAGACCACCCAGGTCCGCGAGGCTGACGTGTGTGGGCGGGGATCGGTCGACGGCGGTGTCGCCCTTGCGGCGTTTGGAGGAGGTCGATTCGCCGCCATGGTGTCGCTTTTTCGTGGAAGATTTCGGAGCCGGCGTGGCCGTGTCTGTCGTGGTGTTGTTCGTCTCGCCTGGTTTCTGGGCGTCCGTGGCGCCGTTCTTGGTGTTCCACATGCCGACGAGGCTCTTGTTCAGACTATTGGACTCCTACACCCGTCAATACCCTCTGGAGCAGAGCATAGAGTCTCCGCGCATGTGACTCACCGGCGCTGCCGGCTCCTCCAACCCCTCGAAGTCGCCTTCCACAGAATCTTCCTCCTCCTCATCGCCTTTGATCACCTCCACCACACGCTCGATGCTATCCTCGAGGATCCTCTTAGGTTTGCGATTCAGACTCGAGTTCGAACGCTTGATCGTGTCGTATATCGTAGAAACAGAAACGCGCGTAGCTCCATTCTCCGCCTGCTCGTCGATGATCTTGCGCACAATCTGATAGACCTGGCGACCAGCAAAAGCAGAGATTAGCATTTTGTAGTATACCTCGCTGCTTTCCGCGATGCGATAGACGAGAAGATTTGCATTGGCTCACATCCTTATCGAGGCCCTGTCTCAGGCTTGGCCTGCCCCCACGACCCATTGTGTTCTCAAGTTCGAGAAAGAGCTTCCCTCGTGCGTCCAATGAATTCGGAGAAAGCGCGCCAATGCACGAGAACCAGCCGATCTGATCAACGATTCTGAGAGAGGATCGTCTACAATTTTTGGAGATCGGAGAATCAATTTGGCCGGCGGAGCAAATAACACAAAATTACAGATCGGTAACCGCATTACCATCCTTACTTCAGTTCCATTGGAGCAGCCATCTGACCGCCCTCCCACCTTGACCATACCCAAACCGGATATCAGTGGACGTCATCCGCATCTTGCTGTTATCGGCCCGCCTGACGCTTGGGCTGGTCTCCGCAGTCACTCACTCTCTTTACCACAATACAACAAATCAAACGACACTATGCGTTGACAATGGGGAATGCCAACAGCTCCCATAAGATCTCCGCTCAGGATCGGTGAGACCCCCCTTCTCTTTCTTCTTATATCCTGTGTATCCTATTAGGGTCCGGAGAGTGCTTCATTGAGACCTCCCAATCTGCCCGCAACCCGCGATCGATAAGCTGACCCGGAGACCGTCTGCACGAAACCCAGAGCGATCCTCGACCTCAAGAACCAACGCGACAAGCTCCGCCAGTACCAGAAGCGGATCACCGTGCTGACGGACCGGGAGACGGCGATCGCTAAGGAATGCCTGGCGCGGGACGACCGCAAGCGCGCCCTGCTGGCCCTGCGCCGCAAGAAGTACCAGGAGTCGCTGCTGGAGAAGACCGACAAGCAGCTGGAGCAGCTGGAGCAGCTCACGGGCCAGATTGAGTTCGCGCTGGTGCAAAAGGACGTGCTCTTCGGCTTGCAGCAGGGCACCCAGGTGCTGCAGACCATCCACCGGGAGATGGGCGGGATCGAGGGGGTCGAGAAGCTGATGGGCGAGACGGAGGAGGCACGGGCGTATCAGGAGGTAAGTCTGGCTGGGTTCTTTGGTGCAGGGAGGCTTTTCTAAGGGAAGAAAAATGGCATGCTAATTGTGGTGGTACAGGAGATCAGTCAGATGCTTGCGGGTCGTCTGTCCAGGGAGGACGAAGACGAGGTCGAGGAGGAGTTGGAGGAGCTGCAGCGCCAGGCGCAGGGGCCGGTGGTCTTGCCGAATGCGCCGGTCTCGTCGCTTCCCGAGGTTGGAGAGGAGGAGACAGAGGCAGAGGCAGGAGAAGCGCAGGCCGAGTCATTATCCAGTGGACGAAAGGTCAAAGCCGAAGAGCGGACCGCTGTTCTTGCATGAAACCACTCATCACGTTGTCCAGTCCATATAAGTGTCAGCATTTCTGGAGTTCTGGGTTCTTGTCCATGGGTCATCATCACATTCCGTCATATCATTAGATAGCTCAAGCTAGTTCAATGTTACAAACATGCATAAGCTGAAATTCAGACTAGCATTGGGATAGAGGCCAGCTCTATGGCTAGAGAAAGCACGATCATGAATCAACACCACTGCACCGCATCAACAGGCACAGGTAACAACAGCAACAGCAACGGTGACCGGAGATCAAGTCAATCCATCCGCGCCACAGCTAAGCGAGTCACGGAACCCCTTCCTTTCTCCATGCTCACAAAATCCTACTACCCACACCATTGACACCCTGAATAGCGACATGGTCGTTCGGATTAGCCGCGGCCTCGTACAGGAAGTTGACGGGCTCGCGGTTCAGCGCCATAAAAGTCCCCTTGAATCCCACGTAGCCGACCTTGGTCACGTCCTCCTCGCCGTCACTCCAGTTATCCTCGAAAAACAGCGTGATGGAGGTGGTGGTGTTCCAATGCGCACGGTTCAGGGGGATCTCGAAGACATCAGCTCCGGCAACGGGCTGGGGGATCTCGATCGTCTGGGTGGGCGACAACTCGGACGCGGTTGCGAAGTCGATGTCGTCCCGGTTCTTGAACAGTTTCAGGGTCTTGGGGGCGGAGGGGGTGGGCGCGGTGTAGATCAGCAGAGAGTGGACCTTGACCTGGCCGGTGAAGCTGTATCAGAGGGAGTGGAGAATCAGTTAATCGTCGCAGAGGGATCGGAACAGTTGCGTTCGAAGCGTGTTGAGGTGGTCTTCGCTCTTGCGCGACACCCAAAGCTCAAGGAGGGGCAATGGCGGGGTAGCAACAAGCAACAGGCAAGACAGTTTTCCCTCCACTCCGAACACACCCTCCAAGGCAGAACTCACGGAATGTACATCAGGAGCTGCTCGTCAGCATCGCTTTCGAGCTCCGGCTCGTCGTCGAGTCTCTCCGCCCATGTTTTCTTGACGATCGCAGCGCCAGACTTGGGGGTCGCCTCTGGCTTGTTTATTAGTACCCAATCGCTTTGAGAGCAATCGATCTCTGCAAGCGCGGGTATGATACGCACCGTTGAGGGTTGTGATAGAGTCGAACTGAACCTGAGAGTAAAGGAGCGACTGGATAGCTGGGGTGATGTCATTGGAGTGGTCGTGGCCGTCTTCGTCATGGCAATGTCCGCCGCCGTGGCCGTGATGATGGTGTTGGCCCGACATGTCGCAATTTGATGCTCGAATCTCCTGGTGGTTGCTTCAAGAAATGAAAGGTCGAGTCAAGGTCGGCTGACCAGCTAGTGGGAGCGAGAGGCGGTGGTCTGAGAACCTTGGGTGAGCACGATGAAGATGAAAACAAGCAAGATGTTCAGCGAGTTCAACGCGACCTTTGATTGTTCGGCTAAGTCACCCATTCATTCACATCAACTCAACAGCTCACTCCCATTGAACCCAGCAAAGAGCTTTTCATGCTCTTCTTCATCTGACTTCGCTATTAGATATGAATCATAACTCTATCTTACAAGCAATTAATTTGACAAACTAACTGATCTTACGCTTGCTTGTTATGGCTCGACAAAGGTCTGAAGTTTATCTCCAGCCAGGTAGCAACAAGATCTCACTGCATTCAAAATGGGATATCATCATAGAAACATAGACTACCAAGGATCATCTACTGTACAAACAAGGTGTGGCAAGGAATCTCTGCAGGAGAATCTATTACCGCACTTGATAATAGTTCGGTGCATATTCGAGCAAATAGCCCTTTTCGATCTTGGTTATATCGCGAATGTAGGTCTTTTCTCCCGTTTGCAGGATTTCATGAAATATGACCCATTCGGCTTTACGATTCTGCATAGTCAGATTAGCAATAGTATTCCAAGCCCTGTGGCAAGAGTGTCCGACTCACAAACATCAGTGAGCTCGGATGAGCATGCAGCGTCAACCCGCCGCTCACCGTTTTGAACGTGCCGTCCGGCTGCATCTTTGCAGCATGCGCAAAATAGCCCGTTGTGAGACACCGTTGGATCTTTTCCGGCAGCTTGCTTGGATCCTCCTGTCTAGCGCGGGCAGAAAGCGTCTCATCGACTTGGATCCCGAAACGTTCCAGGTATCGCTTCAGTTGGGCGCGGATACTGACGGCGCGTTGCATGGATCGGAAGTTCAAGAGGTTATCTCGACACCACTTCGAGTCCTTCTTGCCCTTGGTGACAAAGGCTTGGTAGGCATTGAGATATGTTAGATGATCGCCTTCCTCGACTGCGAATTTCCTCCGCATGCTCTCAGATGTTTTCCGATCACCGTCGTGCTGAACCCAGACGGTGCCCTGAAGACTGACCATCGCTGCGATTGAGAGAATCTCACTGAGGCAGCCAAAGCCCGGTGCGGAAAGGAGCACCCTTGCCATCATGGGTTCCACGGCCAACTCTGCCATGCGCATCCCCTGCGGTTTGGTGAGTTTGGCATGATCGTCAACTGCGCCCAGAGAATACAGGAGTTCGAAAGCACGGATCACCAGTTCTGCGGGGGGAGGCGTCAGGAAGTCAAAACGGACGATGTTGTCAATGCCAAGAGCTTTCAGCTGCATGATCACCGGTGCCAAGTTGGATCGCTGGATCTCCGGGATAGTCGCATCTGGGAGAGCTTCATATGCCTGCTGGGTGTAGAGACGGAAACATTTTCCTGGCTTGGTGCGCCCAGCTCGACCTGCACGCTGGACGGCTGCTGCCTTAGAAATCGGGACCGCGGTCAATGTTTCAATGCCGGTGGTCGGGTTGTAAGCTCTCAACTTGGCGAAACCACAATCCACCACATACACGATCCCATTGATAGTAACAGATGCTTCGGCGATGTTGGTGGACACAATGACCTTGCGAGTGTTCTCGGGCGCTGGCTCAAACACGTACATTTGCTGATCTGTCGTGAGGCCGGCGTACAGCGGAAGAGGGAGCAGCGATTGCGCTTTGGGATGAAGCGTGGCGGCACGTTCCGTGATCAATTGTATAGCCGTGTCAATCTCCTCTCGCCCGGTCAAGAACACAAGGATGTCCCCCTCTACTTCTTGCAGGTGTATATCAAAGACCGTCTTGACGGACCGTTCCACATAGTCCTCTGCGGGTGACTCAAGGAAGAGCATATCCACCGGGTACATGCGACCCTCCAGACTGATAATTCTGCCAACCTTCCCACCAATCTCGCCCGATTCTGCATCGCCGTCGAATTCTTCCCCAGCAAAGAAGCGCAGGAAGTCTTCGGCCTGCAGTGTTGCACTGCTGACGATAATCCTCAGCTCCGGGCGCTTTTTCATGATCTTCTTGAGAATGCCCAGAAGTACATCGGTGCTGAGGGACCGCTCATGAGCTTCGTCGACCATGATCACCGAGTACCGCGACAGCAGGGGGTCAACGAGTGCCTCCCTAAGTAGCATGCCATCGGTTAGGAACTTGATCCTCGTGGAAGCAGACGTCAGGTCCTCGAAGCGGATTGAGTAGCCCACCTCCTCGCCGAGCTTGCAACGCATTTCTTCGGCAACTCTAGCGGCCACCGTTGTGGCAGCCACCCGACGCGGCTGCAACTTGTCAGCTTTGGCTGGTCAACGGCTACACAACGAGGTGGAAATGACGTTACCTGCGTAATAGCAATCGCTTTCCCATCGGCACACCATCCTGCTTGCTCGAGGTACTGGGGTAATTGGGTCGTCTTTCCGCTTCCGGTCTGTCCCACGACAATGGTGACGGGGTAGGTTTCGACCAGATAGAGTAGACTTTGCTTATGTCTTGCAATGGGAAGCAGCGAGGCAGGCTTATACAGGGCGGGTATAAAAGAGGAACCGAGTTCAAGTTCCGACGCCATGCTGAAGAATACTTCTGGAATTGATCAATGATCAGCCTAGTCTGACCTGACTCGCTGACAGTCCAGTTTTTAGCCACAATAAGATCCGATGATAAGTGACTGGCCCGACTGAGACATATTGAACGAGACCAGGAATACAGAGATTTCAGCGATTTGGAGGTCGCTACCTCTCCAGCTTCACTCAAGACGAGCACTGCGAAGGATATCAAGAATATCAACTCAAGTATGTAATTATGCTCAATCGGGATGGAAAGGCACTGGCGGATTATGTCAGCTAAGCACCCTCGACACGTGATGCAACGTCACCAGGGACCATCGGAAAGGGGGCGGGCGGAGAGTCAATCGATCATCCATTGGTATACGTTCTGCCTGTTGGGCGAATTCCTCCTCCACGCAATCAAATAGATTCCCCGGAACCGCCAAGTTTTGTCTCGGGCTCTGTGCCTAAATATCTACCTTCTACACACATATCCTACCCCTCCTTCACGTTCCCCCAACCCTTCAGTTCAACATGTCGGAAGAAGACAAGACCGTATGTTCTAGATCCCGCTGCCCCGATTCCACTGCGACTACTAACTCCAACGGAACCCCAGACGGCCAACAGACTCTCTGCAGTGCCAGCCAGTCCGAAACCCGAGTCGCCCACCACGGCGCGTCCTCTTGACTTCGACGATGAAGCCCAGGAGACCGGCGTCACCTCAGCTTTCCCCTCCGCTCCCCCAGCTCAGCCGCCCGCCGCGGAAGCTGCCCCGCCGAAGCCACCCCGCCCCGTGAGCCCGCGGCAGCAGGCCGAGAACACCCTCAAAGAAGCTTTCCCCACGATCGACATCGGAGTCGTCAGAGCAGTGCTGATGGCAAGCAACTGGGATGTGGAGCGGGCCTTCCATGCTCTATTAGGTCTGTAGTCCCCAGCCACAAGTGCTGCCTCTTCGTCCCGACTAACCTCTTATCTACTCCCCAGGCATGACTGATCCCAATGCCGCCGAACAAGACGCACCCCCTCCGAAGCCCCCCCGTCCGTCGGCCGCCCAGAGACAGCTCGAGCAGGATGAGATGTATGCCCGCCAGCTTGCCGAACACTACAACCGCCGCGCAGCCCCGCAGCCACGGTATGAGGATGATCGCGCTTACCAGCGACGAAGAGGAAGCGACGAAGAGGAGGAGAAAGAATACAGCTTCTTCGATGGTTGGTTTCTATTCAGTCCCATTGTGCACTTCCAAGCCTGCTGACTCGGGTGACCACCGCAGACGACCTGCCCGTCATCCGCGAGAACATCCGCAAAGGATTCCTGGAAACCCAATCGAAGGTGAACTCGTGGGTGACGAATCTGAAGAAGAGGCTGGATGGAGAAGAGCCGGAAGAAGAGAGCAGCAGTCAGGCTGCCCAGGGCCCGCGCGAAGATCCCTTCGGCCGTCCGCGCCGCAGCGGCGACATGGGCCGTCGGAGCGGGGACCGTGAGCGGTACGACGCCGACCACCGAGTCTTGAGCGACGACTTCTCAGCTCTGGAATTGAGGGACTCCGAAGGTACGTTGATCGAATGACTTCAGGCCGATGAAGTGTCACTGACAACTTTCGCAGCTCCACCCGCGCGTCCTCCCCGCCCTCTCGCAAACCCTAACTTGTACAAGACCTCGTCACCCTCCCCCGACAGACGCAAGGTTGCCTTCCAGGACGGGCCCCCAACGGAAATCGATAATCTGTACGACGCATCCGAGCCGGTCCGGCGCGCCTCGCCCGGAACGACGGGCAAGTCCAGCAAATGGCAACCCTTAGCCGCCGTGGAGCCGTCTCCGGTTGGAGAACACGACCCGTTCAGTCTGGGGGATAGCGAAGATGAGAAGGACACCACCACGAAGGCAAAGGAGCCCGCCGCCGCCGAGGGCGCTTCCAAGGCTGCGACGGTCGAGACGGTAGCGGAAGCAGCGCCCAAGGAGAGCACAACCGGCGCTGGAAAGTCATAGTCATCACCGGGGCCTTCTTCATCTTCTAGTCGATCTCCGCGGCTTATTCAGTGGCCTGCCTATTCAGTTGTTGTAACCTTGATCTGTTTCTACACAACCCGTGTCCATTGCCCTTGCGGCCAGAACCCATGATACCAAGAGACTGCATCTAAATGAATTAAGTTCAAACGAGTTCCAACCGTCCGAGTCAAGTTCTACGGTCCTGTAAGAGCAGTGAACGGCTCAGATACCCACCGTTATGAACAAGCAACGTACAATGTCAACCTCCGTGCAAAACGAAACGCATCACCTCAAATCTCAGTACATAAACTAGAATTATCCACGGGTATCTTGAAATCCAAATCCAAACACGCAAGCATAAACCGACGGTAAATCGTAAATCACATCCACACCCTCAACCTGCAACCCTCAACCCCCAACAGGTGACCCGGTTACTCACTCACTCACTCATACTGATGCTACTGCTGCTGCTGCTGCTGCTGCTGCTCAGCAAACTCCCTGACCCCCGACCCAGCGTCCTTCCTCAAATCCTTAATCACAGCCTAAGACCACCCTGTCAGCCCCCAGGACCCAGACCCCCAAGCCACGACCTCGACAGACTGAACAGAACAGAACAGAACAGTGCCGCCTAGCCTCCCGCTCCGCTCCGCTCCGCTTCCACCGGGCCAAAAACGACAAAACAAACTGGAAGAAACAAAACCTACCGCCAACGCCTCCGGATTGACCCCGTTCTCAATGAGCGAGACACAAAGCGAGAGCTCGGTGCGATCCAAATGGGTGTTCTGTGCATTACATGTCAGGTCAAGTTCAATTCCATTCAATCAATCCCAGGCAACAAGCATGGTGACGGGGGGTGTGGATGTAGAAAACTATTGAACAAGGGGGCGGAAACGCTCCGAATCACCGCGTATCACCACATATGAAAGACCAATCCCAGCCGCGTGAGTGCAAGCTTAGTGGTGGTTTGGGGTGAGGATTCATGATGGGTGGGTGATATGAGGCTGATGCCGACACTGCAGGGTTGGGTTTGGGTTTGGTCGGCCATAAACAGGAATGGGCAGGGAGAAATGATGATGATGGGCTGGCTGGCTGGTTTGCTTGCTTGCTTGCTTACCAGGAGGGTGGAAATCTCATGAAGAATGTCGATGACTTCGCGAGCCGCTTGGCGTTTGTCGTCGGCTTGGGAGGGCGGCATGGTTTTCTTTTTGGTTGTGTTTGGTTATTTGTTTGTTTGGTGGGCTGCGCGTTGGGATTGTACGGATTGGATGATGGGATGGGATGATAGAGAGAGAAGGGAAGAGAGACAGGTGAAACGCGATAGAGAATGTTTGATATCTATCATGTACTGTACCTGGAGGAAGGGATCGTTGGAGCTCAAGATCCGGAGAGATCTCGCGATGCGGTACGGTACGGTAATCCTGGAACCAGTTTGTTACCCGACTCGGGCAGTAATATTACCACCGCTCAGGCTTTGCCTACCATTCAGGATCAGCCAACGAACTACAACTACATACATGCTAAGAACAAACCCCACTTGGAAACGCGCCTGTGGAGAGAGAGACAGACAGATTGACTTCAAGTTCTTCACGAACTCCTCCTCCCTTCGGTTCTCATTCTTGAGGACTTCCTCTTACCCTTCAAAACTCCTTGCCCTGCGGTTCCTTTGGTTCCTTCATTGTCAGCCCTCCTGCGGCCTGCCCTGTCACTTTCGGGATCGTTTCATACACTTTCAAGAATGTCGACTGATCTGATCTTCTCAGACATCCACTCCCTGAACAGGGACCAAGCCCTGGACATTCTTGCCCAGATCGCACGTGTCGAGAAAAAGAGTTTTCCTGCCACTGAGGGCATGAGCTTTGGAGAAGAGCTTTGGCGCAAGAAGCCCAACACGAGGGTCCTGTATGCCCACCTCCCAGGCGCAACTCCCCCGCTGGTTCTGGCTTATGCGGTCTACGTTCGCCAGAAAGGCATTGCCCTGCTCCATAAAGTCTGTGTAGCCGAGACTTATCGCCGTCGGGGCGTAGGGTTCCAGCTAATGGGCTACGTTCGCGCTCGTCTGCAAAGGGAAGGTTGTCAGTATGTCCAGTTATGGGTGGACAAGGACAGAGCCCCAGCCAGAGCGTTGTACGCCCGCAGTGATTATGCAGAGCGCGAAGAAATCCCAGATTACTATGGACCAGGGCGGACTGGCATTAGAATGGTCCTGGATTTGTAGTCAAATAGCCCTTGAGACCTTGACTTGTTGCTGCTGCCCCTGTCACTCCTGTGGCATCGCTTGTGTGTCCCCTGGATAAGCTTGCTTACTCACGACAAGACCAAAAGACGCAAGCGCTTGTTGGTTCCCTCAGGCCATCTGTCAAATATTTGCAATTCTCCGAGTCAGGGTGTTGACGGTTCAGGCGGTGGTTGGACGCTGGCTCGCTCCTTGGCTTCCCGACGACGCCATCCCTTGCAGAGGGAGCGAGGCCTACATTTCACAGAGTGAGCGTTATCGCGCCGCGAACCATCAATCTCTGACCATTCCCATACCCAAGTGACGTCAAGCATATCCAGGCATGGCTCTTTTTGAAGGGGATGCAAGCTTCGCGCCTCTCCTGTGCCCGTTGGGCCCTTGGGCGCGAATGCCATAATGGAAGAAACTAGAGTCTCTGCCCTTAGGGCAGAGCAATTCCTCGTTTTTCACTTTCAACACTCAACTCTCGACCATTTCACCGTGGCTTTTCCCTGAGGTTGGCGTAGGTTGTCTTTTCAGAGCGACAATACGAGTTGCCTTTCGTGTACCTGACCGAAGACACTCACTCGTCCCGACCGTTCTCACTGCTCTGGAGAGATGGCGCTCATCGCGTTGGGTCTCCTCAGCATCCTGGGGACGGTAATTGCAGACCTCGCGCCGACTTACCCTGTGAACGCACAGCTGCCCCCGGTAGCTCGAGTCTCCGAAACATTCGAATTTGTCTTCTCCCAAGGCACGTTTGCTGGCAGCGGGCCCAACACTCAGTACACGCTTCTCAACGCCCCATCATGGCTCGAACTAGATGCAAAGCACCGCACGATATCTGGAACGCCCCAGAAAGACGACATCGGGTCGCCGAAATTTCAATTGGTGGCTTCCGACGAGACGGGATCCGTGAACATGGAGGTCAACTTGGTGGTCACAACGGATGATGGGCCAAAACTGGGGAAACCATTGCTACCACAACTTGAAGCGATAGGCGCCACATCGGCTCCAGACACGATCATCGTACACTCTGGCGATTCTTTTTCCATATCCTTCGATCATGACACGTTCACCAACACGCGTCCCTCCACTGTCTACTACGGAACTTCCCCTGACAATGCGCCGTTGCCATCGTGGGTCTCATTCGACCAGGCAGCCCTGCGATTCTCCGGGTCGACTCCGGATATCGGACCTCAGACATTCAGCTTCAACCTGATCGCTTCGGATGTAGCTGGCTTCAGCGCTGCTACCATGACATTTGCGATGACCGTCAGCCCACATATCTTGTCCTTCAATCGAAGTGCACAGACCCTCTTCGTAACCAAAGGGAAGCAATTCGATAGCCCTAACTTCCTGGAAGATTTGACCCTGGATGGTCACGGAGCGACGCGCACGGATTTAGCAAATATTCATGTGGATTCTCCGACATGGTTGGCATTGGACAAGGAATCGCTCTCCTTAAGCGGCACACCTCCAGCAGATGCTGCAGACCAGAATGTCACCATCACTGTAACTGATAAATCTCAGGACGTGGCCACCCTACTTGTCAGCCTGAAATTTTCTCAATTCTTTCATGATAAATTGGATGAATGTGACGCTGCTATTGGGCAATTCTTCATGTTCGTCTTCAACAACTCAATTCTAACCAACGACTCTGTCCAATTAGATGTTGAAATGGGTGATCAGCTCCCTTGGCTTCATTACAACCGCGACAACAAGACCATGTATGGCCAGGTGCCTTCCGATATCAGTCCGGGAACTTTTAAGGTCAACCTGACAGCTCGCGAGGAGACTGCGGAGGAAAGCCGGCAATTCACAATTAAAACAGTCTCGAAGAAAAAGAACGACGAGAATGCAGCTGCTACGGCCACGGCGGACGAAGGCAGCGATAGTAGTGGCAAGAGCGGCAGAAAAGCCGGCATCATTGCGATCTCGGTCATCGTTCCGCTCATTGTTCTAAGCGCTCTGGTACTTCTATTCTTCTGTTGGCGTCACAAGAAGAAAGGTGTCGCTCCAGGACCGGAGGAGGGACTTGCAGACGAAAAGAGGGGGTCACTGCCCCCCGATCCCGATTCCGACATGTACCCTCGCTGCCAGCCTTTCGAACAGACCACCCCAGGCAAGCCACCAAGGATGCTCAGAAGCCCGTCGCCATCGTCTAGACCCCCAAAGCTCGAGATCTTCTGGCACACGAAGCCCTTGGCCGATGCCGACACCATCAATTACACGGATGACAAGGAGAACGCATACCCCCACTCAACCCTGGACTGGGACTTCGGTCCACTGGCGAGTACGAAAGAGCCGGAAGAGACGAAACCAGTAGCGGATCCACCTCCGCAACCAAAGCGCTTGTCGTTCCAGAGTAGTCCTCCCGTGCGCAGGCGCACTACGACTACGTCAAAGAAGCGTGAGCCACTTCGACCGATACAGCCGAGGAGGTCACTCAAGCGGAACTCAACGGTATCGCGGTCGAAGAGGTATTCGAAGCGCTCCAGCGGCATCTCCACAGTTGCTTCAGGGCTGCCTGTCAGGCTCAGTGGCGCTGGCCATGGGGCCGGTGGATTCGGGCCGCCGGGGCATGGAGTCGTTCGTATCTCCTGGCAGAACACACAAGCCTCCTTCCAGAGCGACGAGAGCGATGTGGGGAATTTGGCGCCATTGTTCCCTCGCCCGCCCCTCCGCGCACGGGAAAGCACAGAATATCCCAAGCGCGTGAGCCTCCGAGCCGTCGAGCCGGACACGCTGACCATCTCCGATACGGATTCCCTTGAAGCTTTCGTGCACAGCCGTGCAAAGAGCCGAAACTCTTCCAATCCTCTGTTTGCGGGTCAATTCGCCCGTCGTGGCTCATCCGGTGGCCGCGCTCTGCACCGGGCGCGCAGCACCGTGAGTCGAGCAGACACAGTCGCTAGTTCCCATTATATCGATGATTACCGGCAGGACCGCCCCTGGTCGACGACGATGTCAGCCTCCATTTATACCGATGACCACCGCCAGTCGGCTTACCTCCATTCGCTATCGGAGGAATCGTCGGACGCGCCGATGTCGGGACCCATCAATAAGCAGCCCAGTCAATCGAGTCTCGCACAGAATTATTCCGAGGCGATTGCTCCGCTACCCCGCTTTTACAGCGAGTTAAGCTTAAGCAGTGCCCAGCGAGGGGAGGCCGGCGGTAGCGCGGCGTACCCCGGATCAACTGACCCACAGAACAATGAGCGTCAATCCATTGGGAACAATCGAACTTGGTTCCAGATCGCGTCGAACGCGCCGGGTGAAGCCCCTAGAACGGATCCTCCGCCGTTGCCACCATTGCGCAAGAGCCCCTCTTATTCTTCGGTGCCATACGAGGTCCGATCGCGCCGAGTGAGCTTGATTCGATCGGCAGAGCGAGACTGGAGTGAGCAGAGAGGTATGCAAAGAGAGCTGACGGGAAGTGTGAGAAGTGATATCGCTTTTGTATGATTGAGGCGAAAGTATACATACCCATTTGTCTTTGATGCTTTGTTGTTTTTCTCGCTGCCAGTGTGCTGTATTAGGGTTTGTTTTGTCGTCGACGAGTATCCGGCGAGCATGATATCCACCGTGCATATTTTGTACCATGATTAGATTAATGCTTTCCTTTGTCCATGATCACCCTAGTATGATAGGGTGATCTCGAGGATTCAATGATAATGTGTTGAAACAACAGGCAACCACGTATCAATCCAAGGTAATATGCGGTTCGACCAGCGGGATTGGGCTGGGCCTTAGCGTAGCGCGCAGGCTGTCAGATGCATGAGCCTATAAGCTCGTACCACTCATGCACAATGTAAAATGCGTAATCAATCCATCATGCCCGGAGGCCGATCTATTGTTGCTGTCGACTTTTCTGGAATCCGATAAGCAGATAAGACACTCGACCTATATCAAAGCAGACACGCATCCAGCCTAGCGCACTGCTTTGCCATGCAGCTAAATAGCTCGCAATCGCACCTCTCCAATTGCGCTGAGTGAGATCAGTATTCTCCTCTCGCCCAATATACTCCCACTCCTTTTCTCCCTGAGGGTGCTCCGGAGTGTGTGCGCGTGTTTTTTAATCGGTTGGAGCTGTCTACCCTTTCTTTCAAGATGACAACCGATCTACTCGGCGCAGATGAGGTATTGGAAACGAGTTTACTCTTACCAGGCCCTCGCGATCAGCCATGTCAGAACAAAAGCACGCCCAGAAGATCTAAATGGATTCTTCTGTTTGTGTGTCTCATCATCGTCACTTTGGACTTTGGCGATTATCTCGCTGTCGCGCCGCAGCTGCAGATATACGAGAACATTATCTGCCAGCGCATGCATCCCGAATTATTCGCCAGTGCCTTCGATAGACTAACAGCAACCGCCCATCCGCTCTGCAAGTCCACTGACGTGCAAGGCAAGCTCGCTCTGCTGGTAGGTTGGCAGGATACGTTCACTCAGCTTCCCGGGATGATCCTAGCTATTCCATTTGGCCTCATCGCGGATCAAGTCGGACGCAAACCTGTCATCATCATCAGCATTGCGGGCTTCCTCATGCAGGAATGTGCTATCCGCCTCATCTGTGTGTGATCTGGAAGTCGTGGAAAGGAAGTACTGGCTGACGTGCTTCTCAGGCTGGTATCATACAAGCATTCCACTCGAAGCAGTGTGGTTTACGCCACTTTTCCAGGTTTTGGGGGGTGGTAGCCAAATCGCTAGCTCCGTTGCCTGGACTGTCATTGCAGACATCTTCCCAGTCGACAAAAGGTAAGCATGATGTCCTCCATATCCTGCTCTCCAAGCTGCTGAAATGCGATGACCTCCCAGGGCAAATGCGTATCTTCTCATGGCTGCAGCGATGTTGCTTTCTCAGATTCTCGCAGCCCCTCTAAGTGCTTGGCTGATGTCCAAGGATGTGTGGACGCCATCGTTGTTAGGGTTAGCGATTGAGGTTTGCGGGATCATCCCCATTTTCGCCTTACCAGAAACTGGACCGAACGCATCCGTCAGACCGGAAGGAGATATTGAGAGCGAAACACAAGGACCAGTCAACGAGTATCCTACCATGAGATGGATGGGTATTGTACACTTGGTCCAATCTCAACTAATCGAAGTGGTTGGGTTTGTTTGGGGCAACGCCAACACTTTAGCGATCTTTTTCGCTTTCTTGACATCTAGCATTGGAAGCCAGGCGCTTCAGTTTGTGCTGCAGTATGCTTCCAAGCGTTTCATGTGGAGTGTAGCCGAGGTATGCCTTCCCCATTTGAGCTACTAACCTGAAGTCGCTAACAGAAGTAACTGGATAGGCGACGTTCCTCATCAGCCTCAAAGGCGCAGTCAACCTGGTCGCCTTCCTTCTCATATTGCCTCTGATCTCCAAAATTCTTGGGGGTTATCTCTCTCCGATAAGAAGAGATCTCCGAATCACACACGCCAGCATCTGTGTACTCGTGGCAGGATTCGGTACAATGTCGGTAGCTGGTCATCCAGTCCTTTTCGGTATAGGTTTATCTTTTTCGGCCCTCGGGTGGGGTTTCTACATGACACTTCGTAGTGTTGGAAGCGCCTTAGTGGCCGAGACCCATGTCGGGCTTTTCAACACAACAATTGCACTGGCTGAGTCCGCGGGGTCTATGATAGCTGGACCGCTTTTGGCAGCTCTTCTCAAAGTAGGAATGGCGTGGGAGGGAGTCTGGATGGGTTTGCCATGGATGGTTGCGACGGGTCTGTACCTGCTGGCTGGGTTAGCAGTCTTTTGCATTCGTAGTCCAGCCCACTAGAGTATTGAATATGGTTCAGTCAAGAGGTACGCATGATGCAGGACGTCCAGTTCTCCATTGACTGCGTTGCTGTCCATTGACAAGAGTGGCCTTTCCAAGTGAATCAGAGACTGCATCGCTCCTCAACGGGCTGTATTCAAGACAACGATGACTTGTCCTAAATCAAGCGCTTTCTCTTTCGGTGGCAGTCTCTCTCTTGGTAGATAGTGAGGGCTGTATGCATGCGCTTGTGTGTTCATCTTATGATGCCTGCTGGGCTGGAGTCGAAGATTGTGGGTAGAAAGGGAAGTCTAAACCCGCACTGTATTGGAGAAGGCGTGGCTCTGACTAAAAGTACAGTAGTCGACTACCGAAGGTAGTCGGTGGTCCTACTAGATAGGTACAGTACAGTACTGCATGATTCTTCCTGCTCCAGGCGGTCACCACACTGAACAGCTGAGGCATAGAGGCAATTACCGAAAACTGCAAGAGCGCTCTAAAGGTACTACTGTCTTAAAGTACTGTACTAGAGGTAGGTACACGACTCTGTTCAAATCGCGCAATACCAATGTACAGTACAGTACATTCTAGGTGTTGAGCAAGGCAATGCAGACAACCTCGCGAGGACTGACATTAGCTAGCACCCAATTCCAAACGCCTCGTCTCACTACCTCCGTCTTGTTAGCCGTAAGTAGGTAGCAGTTGCCTAATCTGAGCAAGATTTGGTGGGCGTTGATGTATCAAATTCCGTTTGAAACATTGGCCGCGAATACTGTACACCATTTCGGATCCCTCCTACTGAAACACAGCTTCGTGTAGGTATAGGAAGGATGAAGGATATACCTGGCTAGAGCATGCTCGTTTGCAAGCTCAGGTTGACCGTACCGGTCCAATGCCAGAGACTTGGCGTGAATGACGGTCTCTCACTTCGAATAGCAGCCACAGACCCTAGCATAATGCTTGATATATGTATGTACTCATATATACGAAGCGGAAGGATTAAATAGAGCTCAGCTTCTTCTGTGGCACTCCACAATTTTTGTTGAGTGGGTTTGGGTCAGGCTGTTTCCGGCAGTTCCTGTGGTTGGAGGCACGCGACAGGAAGGCGGTCCACCCAAAACAGCGAACAACAGTACCTTCAGGAAATAGTGCTCGAGGGAGAGAGAAGAGGTGTTGGTTTTTTATCTCATTATTATCGACTTTAAATGTGTTTTGAGACCTCCTGTGGGTTGCCTATTGCTCTGCCTGCAGGTAGCCAGCCAGCTGCAACGAGTGCTGCCGATGCCCTTGTGATCTGTAGAGCATAAAAATAATGATTAATTATTGTAATGCCCAAAAAACTCATCCCCGGCCTGTGACACCATCACCATTATCATCATCATCACCACCACCACCACCCCTCCCACTGGACTGCGATTGATCCCAAATTTCCTTTCTCTTCGCCCCTTTTCTGCCATTTCTGCCATTTCTGCCACTTCTGTCATAATTCCATTTGATTCCGCGTGTCACTGGTCAGCCGTGGTTAATGAACACGGTGACAGATCTTGGACAGGATCGGAGGGGGTCAGCCAATCTTCCAGCACGGTGGACAAAGTATCGTCATCGTTGAATCGGGGTCCCCACTCCCCGGTATTGTCGCGTTTGAATGAATGACTGTGGCTGCTCACTGCACCTACAGGCTACAGCCTGGAGTACTCACCTAACAACCGTAAGCAGTAGTTACCTAACTACTGGCAGTACACTGCACCTTGCAGGCCTAACGCTGGTGTTCATACTCCGTACTCTTTCTTTCTTCCCGTCACGCCGCCTCCGTTAATTGTAGTGATTCTGCCCTTACCCTCCCCTCTCACTCACCTGCTCTCTCTCACTCCCTCACTCCCCCTCCTCCCGCTCTGAGTCTAGTCTCTCTCTCCTCCGTCTTTCTCCCTTCCCCTTCCCACCTGATCCCGTTCAGTCACTGGCTCTTCTCATTTCCCCCCTCAGATACTCTCCGTGTGTGTTAAACTTTTCCCCTTCCTGTCTTTCAATCTTTCGACTACTTACTCCTCCTCCTCGTCCTCCCCTCTCACTTGGTGAAAAACAATACATCTTCTCGCGCCAAACACCTAATTAATATCCCCCGTCAAATATCATGGGTCAGACCTTGTCCGAGCCTGTGGTCGAGAAGGTGCGTGAAACCGAAGCAATGCGTTTGCCTTTGCCTTTCGTCCCCCCACACTACAAGAGGCCTTACGCAATTCCTATAACCGCCTCCCCCCCTATCATCGCGCAACCCATTTCTTTCCCCTTCCTTTCTCAATGTGTATGAGTTACTCGAATAACTCTCGGTATCACTGTCTGAATTCACGTTCAACTGCGTGGGATCACTTCTTCTGGTGGTCGGAGGGGCTGCAGCGTGGTGATCCTCCCACGTCTGCGGGGTCCCTCCACAAGATGATGAAAATTCCTGCAGGCGGCTTCCGAGCGGGTGACCTGTCATATCTACCTTCTTTTCGCGCCCTTGTCATGCCAACCTCGCTAACATGATGGAGCATTGTCCAGACTTCGGCTGAAGGTCAGGATGAGTGTTGTATATACGGTGTCTCGGCCATGCAGGGCTGGCGGATCAGCATGGAGGATGCCCATGCGGCCGTGCTAGACCTCCAGGCCAAGTCCTCGGAGCAGAACGACAACCCTACCGATCCCGACAAACGTCTCGCATTCTTTGGTGTATACGATGGACACGGTGGTGATAAAGTAGCTTTATTCGCCGGAGAGAATGTCCACAAGATCGTCGCAAAGCAGGATGCATTCGCCAAGGGCGATATTGAGCAAGCGTTGAAGGACGGTTTCCTTGCGACCGACCGCGCTATCTTGGAAGGTTCGTGAATCCTCGACTCCGGGCACCGGGACGACTCTTTATCCCCCACTCCTCTCTTCCCGAGATGACAGTGGACTGATTCGGCTAGATCCTAAATACGAGGAAGAAGTGTCTGGCTGCACTGCAGCCGTGAGCGTGATTTCCAAGCACAAGATCTGGGTGGTACGTATATGGAATTGTTTGGGGACTTTTGCTGGCTGTCCATCGGAATGCCTGTTAACGCTGCATAGGCCAATGCTGGTGACTCCCGTTCCGTGCTCGGTGTGAAGGGCCGCGCGAAGCCCCTATCCTTCGATCACAAGCCCCAAAATGAAGGTCAGTAACGAGGTACGAGCTCTCTTCGAGCTGGAATTGGTTATGCTGAAACATGGAATACAGGCGAGAAGGCCCGTATCAGCGCTGCAGGCGGCTTCGTCGACTTTGGCCGTGTCAACGGCAACCTGGCCCTGTCCCGTGCCATTGGAGATTTCGAATTCAAGAAGAGTCCCGAGCTGTCACCCGAACAGCAGATCGTGACCGCCTACCCGGATGTTACTGTCCACGATCTTACTGACGACGATGAATTCCTCGTTATTGCCTGCGACGGTATGTCCTCCGTTCACGTGTCCAGTCAGGGTTCAGCTCAGTGGGTGCTAATGTCAATGCAGGTATCTGGGATTGCCAAACCTCGCAGGCCGTCGTCGAGTTCGTTCGTCGCGGTATCGCCGCCAAGCAGGACCTCCACCGCATCTGTGAGAACATGATGGACAATTGCCTGGCTTCCAACAGTGAGACGGGTGGCGTCGGATGCGACAACATGACCATGATCATCATCGGTCTTCTGAACGGTAGGACCAAAGAGGAGTGGTACAATCAGATCGCTGAGCGCGTGGCCAACGGCGACGGCCCCTGCGCCCCGCCCGAGTACGGCAAGTCTCTCGAGGATCCCGAGGCCTCCAATCCCAACTCCTACTGACTTACCGGGGGGAGCAGCTGAGTTCCGCGGCCCCGGCATCCGTAATCAGTTCGATGAGAACCCCGATGAGTATGACGTGGAAAATGATCGTTCCCGTGGCTTCAGTGTACGCTCGGGCCGCATCATTCTCTTGGGCGATGGCACAGAATTGGTTCCGGAGCAGAACGATGACGAGCTGTTTGACCATACGGAGGAGGACCGGGACCTCGGCAATCAGGTGCACCATGACTCTACTGATGCGGGACGGAGCGATCGCGAAGGAACCCCTGGGCCCCAATCCAAGGATAGCACCCCCAAGGCCGATGAATCTGCCACCATCTCGCAGTCGCCGTCTACCACCGCGGAGAGCTCTTCCACCAGTGCCCCTGGAACGCCGCAGAAACCTACTAATGTGTAGTCATGATGGAATGGATCTGTTGCATTTTTCCACTGTTGATGTCCTTTTCTATTTTCTTTTGGGTTTCCTGATCGTCGTGTGATTCTTTGACAGTGTCGCTATTCTTCCCCCTTATTGTTTTGTTCTCCACATGTTATCCGAAGCGCCATGTTATTTCTCTTCCGAATTTACACCTACTCTCTCTACATCCATCCAGATTCCTGGCATTGACTGGTTCAACGGTTGTGGACGGAATGAAACAAGCGGGGAATTGCGACTGTCGAGCTCCCCCTTCACATCTTCATTGTGCCTTGCTGGGGTGAGTGTACGCGATTGGGATGGGGTTCCGTGTTACAGCTTTTCTTTTCTATTCCACATTCGAAGCCGCGAGCGGCAGGTCTCACGAGAGCACGTCTGTTTCATGCCTTGACACACAAGATACCGCACAAAACGCCCAGTGTTGATGAACCTTCATATTTCTACAACGACTTGTTTCGATTTCTCTATTCGCTCCCCAACTCCCATGTTCCTACTCTCGCTCCCTCTCCGGCGACGGTGGCAGCAACGACTTGGTCTTTTTTCATCCCGGGGTCAACGGGAAGGCGCGTAGCCGGCGTTAAGACCGGGAAGAAAGGTCAGTTGTAGTTGACTGGACATGAGGGGATGGCTACGCATCTGCAGAAGAACTGCAGACCTGCTCGTGATAGTCGGGCATCATCGAGTGGACAGCTTCCTTCAGCAGCGGAGTTTTTGGAATGGGATGGATACGGTCATGTATCTGATGTCCTTTTTCATCTGGTATGCATATAGACACCGTTGGCTCTTAGCGTGTGATGCGTAGGCTGTAGAGACTGAAAGGGCAGGCCCTTGTAACGTGCGTAGACTTCATTCTGGGAACCTGTGGCCGTCTATGTCCGTTGTTGTAAGTGTACACTCGCCCAGGCATGATAAATGCATGATCCGCGGCCGGATGGCTACGGTTTTACGCACTCTGATTAATCTCCGGATCAAAATGATTGAGCTTAGAGAGACCACGCGCTGCTTTGAAGCTCTGGCTGCGTTTTTCCATTTCAAGGCGTATTCTGCAAGTGGGCAATAGGCCAATAATGGATCAAGGATGATGAGGTTGAACTGAAAGATGGTTTACTTTGCGAGGAGGCTGGAGGGAAGTATAGGCGACTTGCGCTACGGCCTAAAGAGGTTAGTGTGGCTTGGGGATATTTTGGGAAGAGTTTTGGAGATGATGTTATCATTCTATCCACAATAAGTAAAGTACTCCAACCGGAGACATTGAGCCAATGGCTCTGGTCTGGAAGAATGTAGGCAATAGGGGAAGATGTACGGAGTAGTGCACAGCTTACATCTATTCGATGTGAGGCTGAGCATAACCTAGTTACCTGGTCTACTTTACTTTCATAACTCATAATTAACTCCATAACTCATAAACTAGCTCGGAACCATTGGAATTGTTGGGGCAGCGGATGGACCCTTTTGGGGGCGGTGTCAGCTCCCCTTTACCATACCGTATTGGAACTTACCGATTCTGCCGCAGAGTTTTGATTCTACGTAACTGGGAAGATTGTCTGTCCTCCCACTCTCACGCCTTCTTTCTTTCTTGTCCCTTTTGGTCCTGGTCTTAAATTATTTCTCATTTCTTCCTCCCCCTTAAAGACAATCCCAAGAACTTCCCCCTCGGATCCGATTTCAGGGTCCTGTCTTTTCTTCTGCATTGGGGTTAAATCAATGCTCCGTTGAAAAGCCCGTGTTTTGCACCTGTAGTGCTCTCCCGTACCTCCACCGGGCCCTCCCGTCCGGCTTCTGCTCTCTTCCACACGCTCTCTCTCGTGCGTGCTCTCGTTCTGCTTGCTTGCTTGCTCTGTCGCTGCTCGTTCTCCGTCATCCTACTTTCTTCTTGTCTCACCTCCTCCTCCTCCCTTTTCGCTTCCACCCTCCCTCCCATCATTCCCCTTACTCTCGGACTTTCTTCCCCGTCCGTGTGTTCCTTTCTTTTACTTCTTCTCTTCTCCCGCTTCCTTCTCCCCCCACCCCCCATCTCTTCTCTCTCCTAATCCTTCCTCGACAGAAGTTGAGCTGTGCTCCCTCAGTCAGCCACCATGTCCTCTCCTCCGTCCGGCAAACGCAAGCGCAGTGGCTCCCAACACCTCCCTACCGCCGTTCCTGCGCCTGCAGATCTTTTGCAACCTTCCTCCCGCGATGCGTCCGGCGAGGAAGGCGACGACTCCACCGGCCCAGCCATCCCACTGCCCAGCCCCAACAAACACAGGAAACAGCCGTCCCAGGACGTAACATCGACCGGCGCTGTGCCCCCGTCCAAGCGGGCCCGGAAGGCTTCCGTCAGCGACCACAATAACCACGGTCATCTGTCCAACGGCAATGCGGCGGGAGCGCTAAACAAGGAAGACCCGGGCGAGCCGTCCGAGACCACCGTGGCCAGCAGCGACATCGAGAATCAGAGCACCCGACCGGGCCTACAGGTCGACACGACGACACCTCCAGAGCACTTGTTGGAGCCGCCAAAACGCGGTGGGCTTCAGGATCCCGTCGGTTATCACACCAACCCACCTCCAGTGGGCCGCCCGGTGCGGGTGTACGCGGATGGCGTGTTTGATTTGTTTCACTTGGGGTACGTGCTGTTTCGTTTTCTCTACGGTCCATTCGGTTCATCAATGGCTAATTGGCGTGGTTAATCACTAGTCACATGCGGCAACTGGAGCAGGCGAAGAAGGCTTTCCCCGACGTATATCTGATTGTGGGTGTGACGGGTGATGAGGAGACACACAAGCGCAAGGGATTGACAGTCTTGAGCGGTGCAGAGCGTGCAGAGTCCCTGCGGCACTGCAAATGGGTGGACGAGGTGATTCCCGACTGTCCCTGGATTTTGACCCCGGAGTTCCTCGAGGAGCACAAGATTGATTACGTGGCACATGACGACCTGCCGTATGGCGCGGATGAGGGCGACGACATCTACGCCCCGATCAAGCGAGCAGGGAAATTCCTGGTCACGCAGCGCACGGAAGGTGTCAGCACCACGGGCATCATCACCAGGTGGGTTTCCGCAGTTTGGGATGTGCATGAGTGATCGAAGCTGACTCGATGCAGGATTGTCCGCGACTACGACCAGTACATCTCGCGCCAATTCAAGCGCGGTGCCTCGCGTCAGGAACTGAACGTGTCATGGATCAAGAAGAATGAGTTGGAGATCAAGCGCCATGTGTCGGAGCTGCGCGACAACATCCGGTCTAACTGGACCACCACGGGCCAGGAATTGGGTCGCGAGCTGCGCCAATTCTGGCAGAATAGCCGGCCCGGCAGCCCGGCGCCCAGCACCCGCAACAGCGTGGACCTGGGCGGCTCGCGCAGTGGACTGACGAGCGGACTGACGAGCCCCGTCCTGGGAAACAAGTCGCATGTGTCGCGGGTTGAGGCTCTGGGCCGTCCCGACAGCCCCATGGGTACGGGCCGCAATGAGCCCCCGGATTACTTTGCCACGGGGTACAGTCTGGGTCTGATCGGTGGAGTTCGGTCATGGGTGAGTTCCTGAAGTCGCGATGACAAGGAGGGTGCAGCCGCTCACAAATCTTGGTCTAGATGCGCAGCCGTCGCTCTTTAGTGGGCAGTCGAGCCCCGTCCCCTACCAGCGAGGAGGAACATGAATCAGAGGCAGAGCGCAGCAGCGGGCAACAGCTACAGCAAGAACATGAGTATGAACAAGAACATGCAGCTGGTTCCCGAGCATGAGTGATATGTGTCTTTGATGGTTGTCTGCTGTTGTTGTTTCTCTCCCTCCCCCCCCACAACCCCCCAACCCCTCAACCTAATCAACCCACCTACCTTCTTGGTTCATGTCTTCCTGTCCCACAACCTCTCCCTCCCGATAATGTAAGGTTAGCAAAAGAACCGGTCGGGATATGAGCCGAACTTTTGAAATTGGACATCAAAACTTTTTCTTTTCTTTGACTGTCGCACTTCCTCACTTCCTCTTATCTGCGCGGAAGCCTTACAGAGAAGCCTTACGGAGAAGCCTTACATGAGAAGCATCCGTCCACCAAGGGGAATTCCAAATCTTGATGTGGTTCAAAAAGAAATGAGTAATGTCTTATCTTTACGGACCTTTTATTTGGTTCAAAAATTGTTAGGGGTGATGTATCATTATGTGATGGGATGGGGATATTGTTATTGGAGAAAGAACTATTTCCTTGAGATGAACGTTATTTTTTGGGGGGTGTACTTGTCGGGATTGGGGGGGGGGGGGGCTTAATATGATGATCGGATGTGTACTGTACAAAGAGACTAAATTATTATAGATGAATTGGGGTTTTTGGATTGTGTCTTGTAGTGTAGAGTGGAGAGTGTAGATTGTACTGTAAGTGTGTGCGTGTACTGTATTGTACTTTATGTAGAGAAGGCGAGTCACCTCACACCTTTGAAGAACTGACAGGACCGTTGCGGGATGGATCAAAAGAAAACAAAAAGGGTATCTATCATCTATCATCTATCATCATTTTACCTTCCCCCATTCAGCCACCCACACCTCCCCCCCAATCCCCGAAAAATTCTATGAATTGGCCATCAAGCCGAACAAATCGGCAACCTCCTCTTTCGTCTCTGCCACCCCTCCTTCCCAGCCCGGAACCCGTACGCGTAGTCAGAGCCATCCTGATCCCCATCCGACTCGTCCTGTCCCGCCTCAAGTCCGGTGCAACGACTCGAACAAACCCACCCCCGAATCTCCGCCCGCAACCGCCCCAGCCGCTCCGCGCCGCCGACCTCCCGCTCCACCCCCGCCCGCGCCGCCGCCTCGCACCGCGCCGTGACCGCCAGCTCGAACCGCTGCAACCCGCGCACCCGCCGGACGATGGGCCGCAGCCATTCCGCATCTATCCCGGCGTGGAGCGGGAGCTTGTAGCCGCCGATTACGGTGGTAGTGCCGGGGTTGCTGGTGGGGGTGGGGGTTGTGGTTGTGGTGAAGCGGCCCAGGTCGATGCAGAGGGTTAGGTCGGTGAGGTGCGGGCACCTCGTGGTGGTTCTGTGCCAGAAGGTTGTCCAGAGGTGCGGGTTGTGCGTGTGGGTGTGGATTGAGTGGGCGGGTCTGGGGGTGGTGGGAGGTCCTGCTGGTTCTGGCCGTGGTGGTGGTGGATTGTTACTGTTACTGTTGCTGTCGGTGTGGCTATGGCTATGGCTGGCAGTCTCCCGGTCGTGGAACATCCCGCCCAGCGGGACAACCTGCACGCTCAAGGTCCGCACCTCCCCCAGGCAGGCCGGGTTGACCTGGTCGGTGAATGCGATCCAGGTCGACAGGTCGTCGACATCGAAGGTCGCGTCGCGGTACAGGTGCGGTGCTGCTTCGTTGTAGATCGCGCGGCAGGTGCGCAGCAGGCTCGCCGGGGTGGTGCTGAGGTGTGCGGGAAGGGAGGGGTGGGTGTGGGCGTAGAGTTTGCTGTTGGGGTCGGTGTTGGGGGGTTGTTTGTTGGTGCTGCTGCTGCTGTTGCTTGGGGAAGCTGGTGAAGCAGCGGACGGGATATCAACGTCCGTACGCCATCGCGCGGCGGTGACGGGACAGCAGCGCCGGTTCTTGTCAATCGCAGAGACGGGATTGGGGCAGCGCACATGGCGGATTTGGTTGCGGATCTGGACGAGGTGCAGGACGGGTTCGCCGAAGACGTAGGACCAGATTATGGACCGAATCTCCGGGGGCAGGCGGGTGAAGAGGGGGCTGTTGCGTTGGGGGTGGATTTCTTGAAAAGCATCCGGGGTTGATGGCGTGGATGCAGAGGCAGACGGGGTTGGGGCGCAGATTTGGTGGTCTTGGATTAGTGCGCGGATGGTTTCTGACCAGCGTCGGTTGGTGGGATAGTAGTGGAAGATTGAGTAGGGGTCGCGGAGGAGCCAGGCGTCGAAATGGCGCATTGTATCGACACTTTTGGTCTGAATCTAGAAAAAGCACGAAAGAACAAGGTTAAGAGTGAAGGGAAAGCAATTGGCGTTATAAACAGGGAAAGGAGAGACGAGATGAGGCTGCACACCCTATATAAGCTTCCCCTTTTCTCCAGCCATTTAGGGTCAAAGGTACTCTCCACGGCACACTCCTACTCAGTATGTCCATCAAATTATGGAGACAGTAAAGTGGTAACGCCACTGGCAATCACACTCAAGCTGCCCCCAATCATGGCCGTTCGCGGTCAACCTCGGGTTCTTCCGTAAGTCCAGCCGAGGGGAACAAGCAGCGATATGACGTCGTGGCGCCCAATCACACCCCCCGCGGAATGAGGCCTCGTTCTCTGGCAGGGACAGTTGCAATGCATTGGGTTTCATGGCCGCATGGCTGCATAGGACGAGAGTGCTCCGAGCCGACAATTCAAGGGAGACTGTGCTGCGGCATACCGGGGAGACGGGGGGTCGGTTGCCTTCAGGGTTTGCTTGATGGGGTTGTGGTGGGTGTGTTTGTTCTAGTGTTCTAGTGTTGTGTAAGCGCTCCGAGACAAAGTACCTGATTTCAAAATCGAAGAAGTGGTGTAAGATTATTGTGTAGAAATGGAAGTGGAAGTGAAAGCTGAGTGTGGTTGGATTGAATTGATACTCCGTCCAACCCCGGATCGACAAGAAAACCCACCTGGTGTTGGGTCATTGGTCAAAAAGGCAAGTCAACCGAGTCCCAGTCCCACCCCACACCTTCCTCTTCTACTCCGTCCACCACGGCATACTTCTTGCATCATGTCATTTCGTCTCATTCGTTATACTACATAATTCATGCACTCATGCATCCCAATCTCCCGCTAGTCACTCACCACCGCTCTCTATCACAGCACCCTACTACTGCACTCCGTATATGCAAGTCGCTTGCTCCGCTTTTGATGCCCCTCCCGCACTAGCCGAATCTGCCATGGGGTTGCATTCCTTACTACCCAGGAGTCGACTTGATCTTGTGTGTGTATCGATCCAAGAGTCAAATGCCTCAGATCGTCCTCCCTATTATGCTCACTTGCAGGAAGTATGTATCCAACTGCATGCCCCCGCATCTACCTCGTCCCGCTTACCTCCAGCCGTTCACTTTCCTCGTCGGCAGGCGCTGCAGCCGTGACGTCGTTCTTGCTGGCGGTCTCAACTGAACCACTCTCGGGCTTCTGGTCCTCTCGTGCAACGGCCACATAAATGGCACAGCCCAGAATCAACCCCGATCCGAGCCAACTCACCGGGGACAGTGTGCTACCCCAGACTATGCGGTCATAGAACAGCGCGAACAACATCTGGGTGTAGATCATGAACGTAGCGCGTGACCCGGACGAGGTCTTTGCAGCAGGAGGCTTGGTTTCGGCTTGCTGCTGCTGCTGCTGTCCTGCCAGTTGCTCTTCATCCTCGACACGGCCGCTCGCTTGAGTACCATACGAGTTCGATTCCCAGCCTGTCGCAAGGTCTTTGGGTGTCCGTTCTGGTGGGACATAAGACAGACCGGCCGTGAGAAGGAACTGCAACAGGAAACCGCACACTCCGAGACCCAGCAGCAGAGTCCATTCAAACAGCGTAACGGGCAACGCGAAGGGGATGGACGGAACCAGCAGCATCGCGAGAGAGGCGACAATAGTCGTGTACGAGGAGAACCAGGTGACAGACACGAGGGGGTGGCAGCGCCGGCCGATCATTCGAATGGTCGTATAAGCACAAGTGGCTCCTAGGACACCCAGCAGGGCGACAGCAATCGCCAGAACGTGGTGATAGCTGTCCGTTGCACCGGGCTTATCGCCTGATTCTCCATCGTCAGTCTCTTCGCCCGAGCGCATGAAGGCGAACGGGCGAGCAATCAGAATGACACCGACCAGGGACACGAGCCCAGCCATCAACTGCTTGCGGGTGAACGTCTCGTGAGGAATGAATAACGAGCAGGCGTATCCGGTAAGGATGGGGACTAAGAAGGTGACTACAGTGGCCTCGGACAGAGGCAGATACTGCACGGAGTAGTACAGCCCATAGACGCCGAAGAAGCCACCGCTGGCACGTAGGAACAGAAGCAACAAGATCGGTTTGGTCCCAAGCGGCTGCGGCACCTTGGTGTACCACATGTACAGATAACTGGCGATGACAGTGATTGACATGCGCGCGAAGAGGATCTGCGGAGGGATTAGCGGTTGACTAACACAGCAGCAGAACGTCTAGTTTCACACGACCGATCAAGCAAAGCGGCACGCGATCAAGACCTACCTGAAACGGATGATATCCCTTCCCATTATTCCCCTTGATCTCCAAAACCTGCGTCATAACATTCATGGTAGCGCCGAAGAACTGGGCGCCCAAAACAAAGATCATACCCTTTCCCTGCAGCCAGAGCTCCTGGCTCGAGTGGCGCAGGGAAGACCACCAGGGCGTCTGGTGGTGGGAGGAAGTTGAGGTCAATTCATCAGGCATCATGGTCGGGGAGGTGCGAGCCAGAAGGGGACTCTGCTCGCTGGGTGCTTCTCTTATCGTCTCCCGCTGGCTCGGATCCTCGTGGGATCGAGGAGTGACGCAAGTGGCCATTTTGTAATTGCCTCGTGGTTTTCTGACGGCTGATTTGTGTCTGTTATCCGAGGTTCTTTTCCTGTTTGTCCCTGGTTCGGGAGTGGTTGTATTTGTACCTGTACAGTACTTCCTCGCAAGTAGATCCGATCTGGAAGGCGATAAGGAAATACACACAGATTCTATTGTAGACGTGCTGTATATATGCCTTCAGTCATTCCCCTGGTCCAGTCCTGAACCGATCCGTCAACAAAACAGAGACGACTAGAAGTTTAAATGGCCGTAGAAAGAGAAATGCGAAAAAAAGGCGAGAGCCAAAAAAAAAAAATGTACTAAGTACAAGGACGCCTTGGAATGACTAATCACCGCTTTTCGCGCACTTAACGAAGGGGAAAGGAAGAAACAGAACAAGATCTTTAAGCTAATTCGACAGAACGAAGAAATCAGCTGAGCATGAACAAAAAGAAAATAAAATCTTTAGACTGGGGTTGATTGAAGGTGTTAGCAGAAGGCGTCCGGGTGATCGGTTAGCACTGGGTTTTTTTTGTTGCTAGCAAACCACCCCCCCTCCCTCCGACCTACGGATGTCGGTGAAGGAGCCGAATGGTTTTGTGTGTAAAAGTGGATTGAGGAGTGGCACGCTAATCTTTACAGTCTGCAGATCCTGGTGATCAACAGTGCTGGGATTATACATATAGTACGTAGCTCTTATCTGGAGGATCATGGATGAAGATGTGATTTTAAGGAAAGAGAGGAATAGGTATAGACCGTCCCCTGCACTGCAGGGGCTGGCTGGAGGACTATGACTATGGCAGTTGCTGTGAAACGAGAACGATATCGGACTTCTCTCCGAATCAGGCAGTTTTCCTACCGTACTATACAGTTTAGCTTGAAGCCGCCGAGAAACCCCTATCTACATGAAGGTAAACGTATCCCCGCCCTTCTCGCGCATCATGTTTCCGAGGCGCTTGGTCCCGACGATCCGCTCCAGCTTCAGGGCATCCCACTTGGAGAAGAGGGCGCGCACGCCGCCGGCCTGGGCGGCCTCGGCAGCCTGGGCGGGATCCAGACCTAAAAAGCCCACGATCTCGGCGTAGAAGGTCGGATTTTCGGGCACGCCGTACATGATGATGCGCTTGACGCCGCGGAGCTGGTAGCGGCGGAAGTGGTGGATGCGCTCGGTGTACAGCAGCACCGAGTGGCGGCCCTGCACGAAGTGGGTGCGGGCGCGCGTGCCCTCGCGCACGTCCGTGTACTCGCTGATGGCGCCGAAGGAGACGTGGGTCGTCTGCGTCGAGGTGGCGAAGTAGTTGCGCACGCGCACGAAGTCCAGGTACGAGGGGATGAAGATCAGCGTGCCGCCGCCGCCGCCGCCGCCGGTCTTGCTGAGGTCGCGCACCAGCGACGACAGCACGGTCGTCGTGAAGTGCTTGAACCGCGCGTCCGGGTCTTTGGCCGGCGAGAGGCTGTCGAAGCGCGAGAAGGTCTGCCGCACGGGCACGGGGAGCGCCAGTTCCCCGATGGCCCCCGCGTAGACCGGGCTGACCTTTACCCGGCCGAAGACGTTCTGCATCTGCGTCGAGAACGCCGAGTTCATCTCCGGCGTCACGAACGAGGACAGCATGATCATCTGCCGGACGTGCCGCGCCTGGTTGTCCAGGTACCACGTCCGCACCCGGCTGAAGTCGCAGCCGTGCGCCTCCCGCGGCTGCAGGTTCAGGTGCTTGAGGATGTAATCGACGTGATCCCAGTTCTGCATGAGCAGGCCGTCCGCGTGGTCGATGATGACAACTTCGATCGAGGACAGGAAATCGTGATCCCGCTTCTTCGCACTGGGAGAGGGGGTCAGTAAGCTACTCGGTACGGTCTCGCGGGCGGAAGGGCGGGGGTCAGCGGAAGCTTACTCGGCTTGGTCCATGATCGTGCGCAGACCGAGCGGACTGGCAAGGATCATGTCGGATGTGTAGAATTGCGCGAAGTACTTCACAGTCTTGCGCGTGAATTTGAGACCCAGGCGGAACATGTCATCGTCGTTACCTCCGAACAGGTCGCGGAAGTCGTCCGGCTTGTTCTCCCAGGACTTGTCGTCCGCAGACGAGAAGGTGTCGAGAAGTCGCTTCCTGTTCTCCTGTTGCTCTGGCTGGAAGAACCGCGTGATGGCGTCCACTGCCCGCACACAGGCTTGCTTGGTGGGTAGCAGGTACAGCACCTTAGGCCGGGTGAAACCCTGATCCCGGACGTCCAGGTCGGAATCTTGCTCCTTGGCCACGCGAGCGTTGTTTTTGAGGACGCGGTCGCGCGTCTTCAGTACATGATTCGTCGCATGGAGAGCCAGGAGATCTCGCATGTGAGCTGCGTTGTCTGCCGTACGAGCACCGTAAAGGACATCCTGGTAGCCGAAGATGTAGGGCGCAAGATGCTGAGCATCGCCATCGATCTTGGGGATATGTTCCGTCGCAGGAGCCTTGAGCTTCCTCTTGAGCTAAGCGCATTGATGTGTGTTAGACTTCCATCTGGTGATGTGGAGACTCGGTACAATTTGGCTTACCTTCACACTCGAGACGCTCTTCATCGCGACCAACAAGGATGCATCGTCGCCCGTATCAGGAATGGAGCGTACGAACTTCAGCCCCTCGGCAAGCTCCTTCTTAGTGCTCTTCCACTTGTTCTCCTCAATAGCCTTGATCTTCTTGTTCAAGTCCTCCTCTTTGAGGGTGTTGAAGTGGGTGTCGAAAGGATCATTATCTGCTGCGCATCAGCGATATCCCGATTATCGACAATTTTCCAGGTCTTCCTACCATCTTCATCATCACTGTCTACTTGCAACTCTGCCTCTTCTTCGGGCTGATTGTCTTCGTCCTCTGCGTCCGACGGTGCTTGTTGCTCTAGATCGTCCTCTCCCAACAAAGCCTCATCCTCGTCCTCTTCTGCGTCATCGCGGATCACCTCTTTGGTCTCGGCTTTGCGGTGGTCGGTCTTTCGCTTCTTGCGAGCGGGTCCATTGGCGTCGTTGCCGGCGTTCAGTAGTTGCAACAACTCGTTATAGGAATGACCCTTCTGGTCCACTTCCTCTTCGCTATCGGACGAATCCTGGTCCAAGAGTTCTTCGTCGACCATTGTATCCTCCATGGGCTCGTCGAAAGAGCCATTCTCACTGTCAGACGAGGCTTCCGATCTGCCACAATCGGTCAGCTGCCGGAATTTGGGTTAGATGCGAATATGATGGAGCGCTCACTGGATCTCGTCGACTCGGGATGCTTGGAAGGCATCTCTGCGACTAACGCCGCCACGGGGCCGCTTTCCGCGCCCTCTAGGAGCTCTACCTCTACCACGAGGGGGAGCCATTGTGGATAATTGCAAAAATCAAAAGAATGCGACTGACCGATGAACTTCTAGCTAGTGAACAGGCGGAAAGCCGACCAGGAACTCTTTTTTTTCACGGCGGGTTGAACCATCTGGGCGGCGGTGCTTATCTTATCTTAGCGCGAAATTCCCTTTGCGCACACACAATTTGAGGCTCGCAGCAGAACCTCCTCCGTCCGCCGCAGCCCAGAGGCGGAAAGAGAAGATTTAATCCTCCCTCCCCAGAAGAGCCACCATCACAACCCCACCCCGGAGACAAACAGAGAGAACTCCGACTGTGTGTGAACACCAGCCATCTTACCTCCTCCTCCCCTCCTCTCAACAATCATTACCACCACCCACTGCTCTCTCTCCCCCTATCACTCCAACCAAAATGGCTGACACCGATTCCTTCGTCCATCTCGCCCGCCCTCTGGGTCCCGTGGCAGTGGGGTCTGCACCGACGACCGCCCCTGTGAATGTTGTGATTCAGCCTCAGGTAGGTCGAACATGAGCTTGTCTCGCTGAAGTTCTTTCACCCGGAAGTGGTTTGATTGATGGTTGCTGCTAGGCTCTGTTCTCCATCCTTGACCACTCTCTCCGTCGCAACGCCGACCAGGAGCGTGTCATCGGTACTCTTCTGGGAACCAGGTCCGAGGATGGCACCGAAGTCGAGATCCGCAGCACCTTCGCCGTGGGCCACACCGAGACGACAGACCAGGTTGAGGTGGATATGGAATACCAGAAGCAGATGCTCGCCCTGCACCTGAAGGCCAACCCCAAGGAGGTCCTCGTGGGTTGGTACGCCACCTCGTCCGAGCTCAACACCTTCTCGGCCTTGATCCAAAATTTCTACAGCGGCCAGGGCGACGGCACGTGGCCTCACCCCGCCGTTCACTTGACCGTCTCCACCGAGGCCGGCAAGGACATCGAGACCCGCGCCTACATCTCTGCCCCCGTCGGTGTGACCGCTGAGCGTGCTGCCGACAGCGCTGCCTTCATCCCCGTTCCCTACGAGATCCGCTACGGCGAGGCCGAGAAGAGCGGTCTCGAGGCCATTGCCGCTGCCCGTGATGCCGAGGAGCGCTCCGCCAACATCTTCACCGACATTGAGGCCCTCGAGCGCGCGATCGAGGAGGTTCTCGGCATGATCGACCGCGTTTCCCGCTACGTCGAGTCCGTGATTGACGAGGAGGCCCCCGCCTCCACGGCCATGGGTCAGTACCTGCTCAACACTCTCGCCTTGGCCCCTAAGGTCGAGCCCGCCGACATTGAGCGTGACTTGTATGTTTTCCCCCTGCCTGCCTCAGTGTATCAAGCAAAGCATTCAACTAACCCAATTTTTGCAGCAACAACCACATCCAGGACGTCCTGGTTGTGTCGTACCTGGCCAACACCATCCGCACGCAGATGGAGCTGTCCAACCGGCTAGCCACCGCACAGCTGACTCTGGGCGGCGAAGGCAGCGGCGAGTCCGGCGCCCAGCGCGGCGGACAGCGGGGTGGCAAGGGAGGCCGTGGTGGTCAGCAGCGGACTCAAGAGCGGAGCGGCGAGGAGGCTCGCGCGTAAAGAGGATATTATGATAGGGTTCTGATTTAAGACAAAAGAAAAACGATACCTTCCATTTTTTTCTCTTCAACCATCGTCCCACCACCATTTTTCTCACATATTTTCTTTGTCTCAACCTGGTCTCTTCTCCGTGCATATTAATCTCATTGACGGTTTCTTTGAATTTGATTTCGTGTTGGTCAGCCTGATTTCCTGGCTTGCTTGGTCTCTGGCCTAAGCTTGAGAAAGCTTGGGCCGCGGTACCGGGCACTTTCTATACATACAACGTTCCCCATCCACACATACTTACCCCCTGCCCCTGGAAACTCTCCTTTGTTTGATCTTGCATGGAATGTCTGCCTGCTTCCAAACTGTGCCCTTTTTCAGCTCCGGTTTGGAAAGGATAGTTCCGTGCTTGTCAGTCGCATACAGCCAGCTGATTTCCAGGCTGACCTGTATCGCCTGGAAAGCAAGCAATTCAACCTTCTCCACGGGACTTGGGGGGCATGAACCAAACAAGAGAAAGAGCACGGCGTCTTGGGAGTCCGTCTGGCTTCTGTTCAGAATGGTTGGAAAAGCAACCCACTCATGGGATGAAGAGAACAAAAAGGAGTCTTTTATGCAGCGAGCCGAGGAAAATAGAATTTGCTTTAGGGTAGAGGAATCATTGCATGCATGCATGCTTCATTAACTTCCACCTGGACAGAGTGAAGAAGGTGTAGTCCGAGGGTCTTTGGAGTCTTGAGAGCTAGCTGTAAGGCTGGATATATAAACTATTGACTGGTGTGGCGGTGCAACTGATAAGATAGTCCCGGAGCTTAGTTCGAGATCAGCGGGCTTATCGTCAGGTTAGAGATATATTTTTGAACTATTGATGCGAGAACAACAATCTGTGTTAATACTGCAGTGGATGATTCCTTATTACCAACGCCCCCTGTCAATGACAACTGAATAATGGGATATCACTTTATATAAATACACCCGAGGCACAATGCAATCCCGATAGCCAGCCCCGCCCTCCAATATAAGGGCAAAAGAAACAAAAAAGAACCCCAAGAACGCCATGTAACAACAACATAGCCAGCCAAGAAAAGAATATGCAACCGGATCAACCACCACCCACCTTCCTCTTCTTCGCCATCCCAGCCGTCACACTGCCCTCCTCGGTAACATCCGAATCCCTCCTGGCGGCAGCACTCCTCTTCCCTTTCCCTTTACTCTTCCTCCCATCCACACTCTCCGCGGCCCCGAAATCCTCGTCCCCGGCGGCGGCAGCAGCAGCAGCAGCAGCAGCAGCACCACCACCACCACCTCCAGCACCTTTCTTGGCCGCGGCCGCGGCCGCGGCATCCTTCAGATTCCCGACCTGATCATCATTCTGATCGAACGCCTTGCGCGCCTCCTTCAGCTCGCGCTCCATGCGCAGCAGCTCCTGCACGCGGCCCAGCTTGTTGGGATCCCGGCGCAGCGCGAACCGGAAGTCGTCGACCTTGATCTTCTGGCGGCGCGAGTAGCTCGCGTACTGCGCGGCACCGTGGCACATCTCCAGCACGAAGTCGGTGACGATCTCGTCGAGGACGCGGACGGTCTCTGGGAGGGGTTCGGAGGGGAACGACGGGTGGGGGCTTGGGTCGCCGTAAGCGAGGAGGAGGAGCCGGACTTTTCTGGTTGTTAGTATCTCAGGGCTTTAATTTTGAGAGAGGGGGTGTCTGCAAGGGCAAAAACGTACGCTCCGAGGCGAAGTTCATCTGCCCTTTGTGCCGGGCGGCACGGGCTCGGGGTTCGGCCATTTTCTTGGGGGTGGATTTGGGTTTTGGTTTGGTCTTGGGAGTGGTAGTGGCTGGGGTTTTGGGATCTGGTGCGGATGCGCCTGCTGATTCGGTTGCTGCGTCGGGTTTGAGGGGGGGAGGGGGAGGAGGGTAGGCGGGTCGATATCCGGCGTGAATTAGGTCTGTTTCTTCGGGGTTCCAGGGCCAAGGAGGGGCGAGTCTACTCGAAACATGGCCTGTGCTGCGGTGGCGGGGTGGGCCGGACGAGACCGTCCGGGTTGGAGGGTGCGGTTGAGCAGCAGCCCGCGGGGTTGAGGTCTGCGATGCGGATGAGGTTGGTGGTGGTTGTCGGGAGGGTGGTGGTGGTGAAGGTCTTGTTGTAGTTGTAGGAGTAGCCCAGGTAACACGGGGTGTAGGACGGACCCGCGGCCGCGGCGCATAGCGGAGCGCGGGCCTCGACCCCGGAAGGCGGTGGCGGTAACTGCCGGACGACATGCTGGCAGAATGATTCCCCCTCCGCCGTCGAAGGATGATCGATCGATGATGATGATGATGATGACGACGAGGTCGTGAAACCAACTACTATCTTTCGATCGTGTGCTCTTTTGCAGACGTTAAGTCCTTGCGCAAGTCCTCCAGCGCGGAAAGTTTGTGTTTGCAGTGAGGTAGTTCAGAAAAGAAGAGAAGGCCCCTTGGTCGCGAGCTTGCATTGAAAGAAACACCAAGAACAGAAGGCCAGGCAGCTGGTTCGGTCACTTGGTCAAGATGGTAAGTGAGATGCAGCGCAGTGAATTTGGATGAATCCTTCACAAGCGATGGTACTGACTTTGATGGCGCTCGCAGTCGGCTCTCTTCAATTTCCAGTCACTTCTGCTGGTCTTCCTGCTTATCATCTGTACGAGCACCTACGCCCACTCGATCATGCCGGGAATCATGGATCGGAATCAAAATGGGTATGTGTTGTGTTGGCTGGCTATCAGCAGGGCCTCATCAATTGGCACCCTTTCCTCTCATTCACCGGCTGAAGATTCTCTAACCCTGCCTGCAGCTTCTTCGGTATCTTCTGGAAATGTGCTCGCATCGGTGAACGGCTGAGTCCCTACGTCAGTATTTGCTGCGTGGTGATGGCTGTAAGCTCCCCCTAGCTCGAATGATAAGAGGGATAGCCCCTCCAAAGTCGACTTTCAGATGCTGACAGCTCTTCATCTAGGTTTCGATCTTCTTCGGCGGCTGATCGAGGTGTCTTGCTTTCTCATGAGCTCACGAGTTCAGGAAATAGCATGGTAGTATACTGTCCTTTACATCAGCCAGTGGCGTTAATTTGAAGTTTGTACTCTCACCATGCCCTTTGTGTAGCATGAAGCTTGGTGTCTTTTCTTCCTGAATTTTAGAAGTGATGGATATGTACATGATATCGAAGAAATGTGACTTCACTCCACGAGGTATATCCTGTGCCTTCCTGGACGCCGCAAAACGCTTTATATATAACAACCGCCATGCTCTCCCTGCCATGTACACCAGCTATGCTGAAGAATGACTCCAAATCGCTCCAAAAAAAGTGGGTATCCTTATTCCGCGCGTGCTCGATCAAGCCTGCTTGGCCTTCAAGCGTTGAAGACCCTGGTCGAGCAGCCAATCTGGGTCGCCCTGGTCGTCCTGAATCTCATCGAGACGCGACTTCTTGGTGAGTGACTCGAACGTGGTTCGGTCTACTTGCTCGTCGGTCTCCTTGTCGAGCTCTTCCACGGCCTCCCAAAGTCGCTCCGGATCCTGAATGTGGCGCAGCGCCTTGATGCAGAACGCATCCATCTCAAAGCCATCATTCTCCATCGCTCGGATTGTTTCAGCGACCTTGAGAATGTCCTTGTTGCGAGCATAGCCGTCGATCAAGGTAGTCCAGAAGATCTGGTTGAACTTGAACTTGCTCTTCTTCATCATCTCGATGACGTGCTCTGCCGCCCGCGGTTCTTTGTTCCAAAGGAACGCAGATATCAACGTCGTCCAGATGTAGACTGTTGGCTTGGGCCGGAAGTGTGGCTTATTCGGGCTGACACTGCCTTCGTTGCTGAGACGCTGCATGGTATCGACAAGGCGGATCGAAGGGCGCAGGCCTCGGACGTCATTACGCCATGCATGCATAAACTCGTGCCAGGTGTGATCTGTTCTAGCTAGTGAACAGATTACCGGATCCTCTTTCTCTAAGAGCTCGATAAAGCGTTCGTAGACATGCGCAGTGACAGAAACATGCTTGTTGCACCGAAGGTACGACGCAATCATGAGAAAAAGAGGTACGGCGTCGGGCGAGGTTCGGACCGCGGTCCGTTCAGTAGTTGGCGGTTGGTAATATTGCGGAACGATCCCCAGCTTCTTCAAAGGTACAATGTCGTACATCTCATTGTACATCTTCAGTAGAGTGCGAAAGGCGTGCTTGTTGTCTATGTCCGAAGGCCGATTCGCCTGATTTTTCACATTGAGACAGAAGTACGCGTGGAATAATTTGGACTGGACAAATTTGTTGGTCCGGATGTCCTCTCCTTCCATGTCAATTTCATCCCGTAACCGATCGATTTCGTGTCGGTCCAGTCGCCGGGTGGCGTCGGACAATAGCGTTACATAGGTGTATGTCGTCAACGGATAACCTTGACTCTGCATATGATGCAACATATCGCGCCCAAGTTCTTCATCCCCTGTCCTGTAGCAGTTTCTTAGAATGAGATCCATCATCTCCAAGTCAGGACGCATGCCCATCTCGAGGAGCTTGGGAAGGATGCGGAAGTTCCGCCCGTTGGGACCATCCTCGACAGAGTCGAGCAGCAACAACAGACAGCCGTGGGACTTGACTGGCTGGGAAGTCATCTCCAAGCCAACCTGTCCGATCTGACGTACATGGTCCAGGGCTGCGAGGGCCAAATCGACATTCTTCATCTTGGTGAAGCGAGCCGCGTAAGCAAGATAGGTTTCAGCGGACGTGTAAACCTGTCGTTCGTGTGCGAGCTTCCAGGCTTGAAGAACACGTTCGTCATCTGCTCCCATGATGAAAAAACGGATACCTTTTTGTGACGCGTAGGCGATTGGCCAATGTTCTGGATCTAAGCAAGCGGCGAGAATATCGGCAAAGGTCTTCCCCTCCCATGTCCAGGTAGAAAGTAAATCTGGATAGTTTCGCAAGAAAAGCAGGCATTCGCAGACCATGACATGCAGCGGCCTCTGCTCGCCTTGGCAGGTTATGTAGAGAAACTTCAAAGCAAGCTCCGGGGAATTTGCTATAAGCCAGAGTGACAGCCTCATCCAGTGCTCACTTTTGATAGCCATGTCCTTTGCCTCCCACTCCTCGCGGAACTTCTCAAATTCCTCACTCTGCAGTATCGCCAGTAGCTCCTTGTCCGCTTTGTGCATGTGAAATTCCTCGACAAGGTCCTCCCGCGCCACTGGCCGATCAAAGTATTTAGCTTTGAACAGCTCATTGCGGGCAACCTTCCACCTCCGAAGCCTAGGGGAACCGACGAAAAAAGATGACTTTCGTATTTCTTCATCCGCGTGAAACGCGTCCTCGCCCACCATTCTCTCTCGGTAGCTGATAGTGCCACCATTCACCACAAGTGCATTGTGTCGGAGTCGCCGACTGCCCTCGTTGTGGTAGTCGGGAGTGCGCAAAGCCTTATAATCGCTCCAGGGATCGCAAGGATCCAAGACCCGGGGTGGCTTAGGTGGCGGAAATGATGAGTCGTCAAATAAATCACTTTCAGCTTCTGGTATGGCGGTATGAGCAGAGGAGGACGAAGACCGCGCTGTGTTTCGGGATTGGTCAAGACTGCGGTTTACAAGACCACCAGGCTCCGTGGGAGGTGCTGATTCGTGTAGTATCGGGTCAGGCTCCGTCGATATTTGTTTACTCGTGGGCGTCGCATCATGGATGTGCCATCTCGTATGCTGAAGTCCTTCTCTCTGGCGACACCAATATCCGGGGCGGACTCGGGGCTGCAGTGCATAGGAAGGCAACCCAGCACCATAGCGGGGGCGCAAGAAGCGATGCGAACTGAATGACATTCAGTGCTCAATTTATGTATTTGCATGAATTAGCTGAGCAGGACACCACAAGAAACACCGTTAGGATTCAACAGCCGGGGAGGGGTGACTGGGCAAATGTTGCATAACTTCTTTCTCGCGGCGAACCCGGGGAAAGAAAGGGCCCGATTTTGCTCCGGCGCGGATAAAGTGTGGCTGATGAGATCCCGGGCTGTGGCGCGCGCAAATCACTGCCGACAATCAGTTCTACTACTAAATCACAACCACTGCAGTTACTTACTACTACCTCAATTTGATTTGTGCCACCACCGTCTTGGCCAATCTCTATCTCGGCTATTGAGAAGCTTGCTGAGATTGCGAAGCTGTGAAAAGGCAGAAACATATACATCATTCCGCCTTTGTCTTTGCTCATTCTCAGCTACTGCGCAATCCACATTCCCCTCCCCCTCCTCGACCTGGTCATCCGCAGCTCTCTCCGTCTGGCACATCTCCCCTGCAGTTATGTCATCCAATCATGCCTCTCTTGATGCCGCTGCGACAGAGCGCAAAGCTCGGCTTGCGAAGCTTGCTGCCCTTAAACGCAAACAGCCCGAACCAGAGCCCGAACCAGAAGCTGGGGCCGCCAACGATGAATACGACGATGCCGCTCCAGACGTGACCAAGCAATACCTGTCCGGCAGAAACTACGACCCGGAAACTCGTGGACCCAAGCTTGGATTCGAGCAAGCCCCGAACGATGGCCAAATTACTGTGGAAGCCCAAGCTGCGGAGATCGCCAAAGCAACCGCTGAACAAGCGAAGAAAGATGCGGAGGAGGACCAACCAATCGACCTATTCAAGCTGCAGCCGAAGAAGCCGAATTGGGATCTGAAGCGTGACCTGGACGAAAAAATGAACGTCCTGAATGTGCGAACCCAGAACGCCATCGCCAGACTGGTGCGCCAACGTATCGAAAATGCGCAGCGGGCCGCGCAAGCCAAGAGCGCAGGGTCCAACAATCAAGAGGGAGAGGAAGTGGGCATTGAGGGCGAAATGCTGGTGGAGGGAATCCATGTCCGAGAAAGGGAAGAGGAGGAAGAGGAGCGCAGGGAGCTGGAGGAGGACGGCGCGGCATAATCTTGATACCCTAGGAATGGTGTACAATATGTGGTTGTACGACTCGGTTCTTCTCGTTATCTATCAGGCGCTCTTCTGCTGGGGTCAGGGGCAATAGTCGCAAGGCGTTACGGAATTTTGCATAGCAATACAATACATTATGCTCTCAATGACTTCAGCAATTATTCACAGACGACTCTTCCTATGATACAATGTCTCAATGATAATCTGAGGCTAGAACGCCAATACGCCCGCGCAAATTCCCCAATGACTTTTGCTCTATCCAAAATCCACAATCAAGCTAACGTCCCAGGTTCATTGCCTGGGTTAGTGCAATGCGTTTGCTGTAGGGACTGAGACTTCTCTCCCGCCGAGGCGGAGGGGGACCCTGACCGGGGCCACGTCCGCCGCCACTGCTCACGGGCTCCGCACGGGGCTGCGCCTTGCGGTGGCTTGGAGCTGGGTAGTCGCTACCAGTCGCCAGCGAGGGACTCACTGATCTTCTGCTCTTGGCCATTCGACTGCGATCCGCACTGTCACTTCTAGACCTATCCCTTCGTCCACCCTCTCGCGACATGTTCCTGGGACGTCCCCGTTCTTCTGGACTTGAAGCGCGCCGTCTTCGTCGGGTATTTCTGTCATCTGACCACTCACGCGACCTAGACCGAGAACCTCTTTCTCCCGATGTGTAAGAAGCAACGGAGTGAGCGGAAGATGCATCACTATAGCGCCTCTTTCTGTGGCCAGAAGGTCGAGAGGACACTGATCTTGTCCGCTCGTTCCGGCGGGAAGGCGACCGGGAGTGGGATCGGCTTGTCGAAATCGTCGATACAGAGCTTGCTGAATGTGAAGAAGCCGAGCGTGCTCGCTTGGACAGGTGAGCTGGGCTGTGTAACGGGTCCACCTGGTCTAAATCTCTCTTGCGACCTCTTTCTTCCTCATGCCTGGCCAAGGGCTCCTTGTTAGACGCTTTCCTTTTGTCTAATTAATTCTCCGATGACGACATGAGAGGTAAGGCCAGATAGACTCACGTGCTCAAGGCGTCCTTGTAAGCATCATTCGTTAGTTGCGGTCGCAGCTTTGGGTTCTGCAGCTGCTGCGTGCGCGATGGGCGAGACATGTAAGGCCGCTCCTGCGCGGTGGCTTTACATTCATAGCTGTAGTGCCGTGCTAAACCACGTCAGTTTGCGACCCAGAGGCATCGGCGCGAAATGGGTACATATCTCGTTGCAAGCATTTTTGGCACAGGGTGCTGGCTGTTGCCTTGCTAGGGCCTCTAAGCCCGGGGGCATTTCGATACCGATTCATCATCCAGATCGTCGGCCCTCGATCCGGTCGAGGCTAGAGAGACTTGGCTGATAGGAGTGGAAGTGGAAGTGTGTGACTGACCACCAAGAACGACAGGGAGGGGAATTATTTCAGCCCTTTTATTACCTCGCCTGTAGCTCACGGTCCGAACCGACTCAGATTTGATACTCGGTATCCGTACTAGGTAGTATGTAAGGTTACTGTTCCAGTTACTAGTATGGAATCCCAACCTGTACCGCCAGTCCACAGTCTTTCCAGGCTTTGTCCTCCGCGGCTGATTAAGCCACGGGATTAAACGCGCGGCTAAACCTGCCTGCCTGCGTGCCTGCCGCCAGCCCGCCGTTGCTTCCTGTCGTTCCTTCTTCAGCCCAAAAGAATCCATCCCATACCCACTCATTCACTTTCCACACCCGCATAGTAGCGACGGACCACCACCACCACCAACCCACTCCGGGCCACACCACACCCTTCCACAGTACTTATCTCAAGTACTGTACTGTTTGTCTGTCGGTCTCGTTCAACTCGCTCTTCCAGGGTGGTTGCTTGTCTTCAAGCTCCCCCTATTCTTTATTTCTCTTGTAAGAAGATTCTCTTTTCTCCCCACTCCCACTTCTTCCTCCCCTCCTCTTTCTCCGACTTTCCCAAACCATATAAACCTTTTTTTTCACCTTCTCCACAAAGACACGAGTCAGCCTATCAAAGAGGATCATGGTTCGGTCATTCTGACCATCGTGTAGTACCAGTCACTTTTCTCCTCAAACTGCGTTGCCGGCCATTCTCGCGTCTTTCGTCACTGGCTTTCTTCCCCTGATCGATCAGTCAGTCACCTTGCTCTCCGCTTGGCTACGCAACGGCTCTCTGTCTTTTGCGCGGTTCTAACCTCGAAGCAGCTTTCCTTATGGCGAATTACGTTTCCCAGAGATGTGCCGTCTTTCTTTTTGGGCTTGTGTGAAGTGGGTTCTTTGAGTGGCTCTTGATCAGTTCGAATTCCGATTTCTTTATCGCCAGCTCCTGAACGCGTTGAGTTCAGTCGTGCGCTTTCTCTTGTTGGGACTCTCTATTCAACCGTTGGTTCCCCGCTCGTTCGATTTCATCACCAAAGAAAGAAAACGTTAGAAAGAGATTCTCAGATCCGGCGGAAAGAATTTGCATGATAATGGCATCGAAAGGTTCTACGAGGGACGAGCACCGTCTCTCCTTTGCAAAGGTCGGTTCTGGTGCAACAACTAGATTTATGCCCCGGTTCTTACCTGACATGCCCTCGCAGATTGCTGCGATGCCTCCACCATTTGGACCGGTAGCTTCTATGCCATCTGACGAGTTACATGGTTCTCAGTCGATCGAAGTCCCATCATCCTCCGAACTATACTGCTCCCATGACACTCATTCTGGCCAGCTAGGCCCTAGCAACGCTCTTGAAGATGCCGCTACTAGCGATCGAAACGTTGACGGTCTCTCCCAAGCTGTACAAGGCATTGATTTGTCGGAAAAGAAATATCATGATAGTCCCGATTTTTCTAGTGAAGGTCCAGAAAATGGATCATTGAAACGGGAGACATCCTTTGACGAGGATGACCGCACCCATCTGTCGAGTTCTTCGACCAAACCGACGAGTTTTGACTCGAAGAGCATGGCGTCAGTCACCACATTTGCCATGGACGAGAAGGACTCTTTGCGTCCTGATGATAGTGCTAGCGTGCAAGCCATTGACGAGGAAGAATCTCTCTCCGGGCCTGCTTCTGGCGCACCCAATTCGTTGACGGGATCCGATTCGGGTGTTCGCGGGTTTAGAGACATGCAACGACCGCGGGCTATACTTCAGCCGACAGGGCCAGTATATCCCGACGGCACTCAGCATAGTAACGGTGCTTTGCTTCCAGACGCGATGTCCGGCGGCTTTATCACCCCCAACTCTGAGGCCTTTCAAGCTGGACGACCCATACATGGTTTTCCGTCTGAGCCTGATGAAAAGCTTCTTGAGGCCATGAAGTCCCCTAAGGATCGTCTTCTGATTCTACAGCTAGAAGAGAAGGTTCGGCATTTCATACAGAATTCTAAGTAAGTTCTTGAATGTGTCGTGGTGTTTGTACGTTCGGTTCTAATTCTGGGTCAATAGGGAGCATTCACTGGAACTTCCTCCTTCCAACGCTTTTGGGAGACTCTTGGCTCATAAACTGGGCGACTACTATCATCTGACCCACTTCGTGGATAATAACGTCACGTCAGTCAGACTTCATAGGACACCTTTTTGTCGACTGTATGTTCATATTCTTCGTGCATGGTTTCTGTGTAGAACAGTATGCTAACGTCTTGTCAGGCCAACGCCCCTTTCCATTATTTATGCTGCCAACAACAGCACACCGCCGCCTGCTATGCCTGCCATGAAAATCATGAGACGTGCGGGTAGCGAGCGACCTTCAACTGAGGGCAGCATTGCAGCAAGCTCTGGTCATTCGAAAGATGGATCGGAAGCTGGCGATAGCGGTAACGACGGAGACCGTGGTGGTTCATCTACAGGTGCCACCCCGGCGAAAGATAGGCTGGCTCTTACCCGAGAGGAGCGAGAAGCCAAGTACCAGGAAGCGCGCGAGCGCATCTTTCGAGATTTCCCTGAGTCAAAGGCAGCTGCAGAAACCACGAATGGCGACAGTAGCGCCAACATGTCGCGCTCAAGTTCAACCAGCGGACGCAAGAAGACGCACCGACAGAAAACGCCGCATGACGACAGCTTCGAAGCTCGGTCTCAATTCAATGCCTACTACCCTGGGATGCAGTTTGGCAACGGTTCAGTGCCGTACGGTATGGCTATGAATGATCCGTCTTTCCCAAACCAGCCCTGCATGGTTGGACCTGGAGTATCCCCACCCAGTATGGGCTTTACACCTAGTGCGCAGACCAACGCCATGTATCCAGGTCCTATGAATCAGAACACGATGCCCCATTACTCGATGCCTGTCTCTCCTCAAATGACGCCGAGTGGTCCGTGGCAAAATGGGCCTGTTCCTCAGCAGTCTCCTTTTACAGGATATGCATCCATCACTCAGTCGCCGGCGATGGCGTCTACAAAATCATCACCTGCGCTTGGCAGCTATCCCATGCCCAACCCTGTACAATATCAACAGACGCCTGGCTGGTCGACACCACCTTATCCTAGTGGCTATCCTCTTTCGTCTCATCGCAACCACCCCCCTACGCATGCCCCGGCCGCTTGGGCAAATTATCAGACCCAACCGCCTACCCCTACTTCGTATCCCTATGCTCAATATCCGGGCCAGCCAATGAGTTCTGCCATGCAGCCTCACTCAGGCTCTCACCCTATGCCTGGAAGCTTTAGTCGATCTCCTTTCAACCCTCAAACCCGCTCGTTTGTTCCAGGTGGAGCAGCTACATTAGCACGGCACCCTGCTAAGGGCAGTCAGCATGGTATGGGCCCGTACACAGGCATGCAGCCCGGGGTCCTTCCACAGTGGAATGGTTATCAGGATATTAACACCAAGGGCCCGGATGTATTGGGGTCCGCTGGGCAGGGTCTTCCTCGCAGTATACCCTCCGGTGGGCGAGACTCAATCGCCAAATGGGGAACGCCATCTCATCTCCCTCCCAAGCCACCACCGTCCGAGGTTCCATCCGAATTCGACATGAAGCATCGAAATGGGCCTACCGCAACTCCGCCTTTCCCAAGCAATTCGCTAAACAGCAAGAATGGTCCGCTCGTTATTTCAGGAGGAACTATGCTACCACGAGCAAATTGACTCGTGTTCTAATTAGTACTATTGCTCGGTCGATAGACTGATTATACTTTCAAAAGTGCACATACTTTCTTCTCGCGGCCAAGCACGTGTGATAGGGTCTGGTGTGGCGATCCTCAATCCGGGGCAGATTGATCAGAAGGATTGAGAGCTATTCTGGCTTGCCCAAATAGCCGATTCTCGAAGTTCGAGGGTTTTGTTGCGTCTGCGTTTAGTTGACAGCGCAGACCAGACTGGGCTTTCCATGGCGCTTGGTGGAGCTTAGCTACTGACATGTGAGCATGTCACAGTGGCTTTAAAACTTGCTATATCTCATTAGATCTTGCTGGAGTGGTGATGGGTGACAGTGCTTAGACACAATAAATTTATGATTGAATCAATGCCGAAACCAGATTAGTCGCCGTTTTTAGGCTATATCGTCGTGGTATTTCACAAGTAATGGGTACTATTGAGCGAACTCCATTGTTTTCACGGTATCATTTCCCGAAAAGCCAAGTCAGCTAGAATACAGCCATAGCCAGCCTCTGGTCCAGTAAGGTTGAAAGGAAGCAGCAGCAGAGAGAGAAACAACATACGAGATGATATAAGGTACATAAATGAAATAGAGAGAAAAGAAAAAATAAACCAGAAAAGGCGGACCAGCGTCGCTGCTAATAAACCCCACCATCACCATCCAAATCACCCAAGAGTCTCCGTCCCTCTCTTGCCTGCTCAATCCTTATGCCAACCCGCAATCTGTGAATTCCTTGTTGGCAAGACCCGAAACCCAACCCCATGCCCCGACAATCCAATATCCAATCCCGTTAGTTATTCTCTGTGTCTAAGCCAGCGGAGCCTTCTTCACCTTCTTTACCTTCTGCACCTTCTGCTTCCGCCCCTTCCACCCAAAGCCCTCGCCTTCGCCATCGTCACTGCCGGTGCTGGCCGACTTCTCCCCATGCCCGCTGAGCTTCAACTTCCGCACCGCGGTCTCGAGGGCGTCGACCCCGCCGTCCCGGAACCGCGTCACCTTACGGACGTTCAGCGCGGTGATCTCGTTGAGGGTGTCGAAGCCCTGGGCGCGCTGGCGCGCGATGGTGCGCGCCGTCAGCGCGAACCGCATGTCCTTGGGCCCATCGACCAGCTCCAGGATCGCGCTCTCCGCCTGGTCGTCCTTCTTGGCCTCCACGCGCAGCACCCGCGTGTAGCCGCCGGGTCGGTTGGCGTAGCGTTCCCGGAGGGGGCCGAAGAGTTTGGGGAGGATGGAGTGCGGGGTCTTTTTTTTTGTTCCGGGGCTTGTTAGTATCTTTTTTGGGGGGGGTTTTGGGGAGGAATGGGCTCGAGGCAGGGATTGGGCTTGGGGGGGGAATGGGTTTAGGGGCTGGCTAAGTGGGCGGCGGTGGCACGTACGTAAAATGTCGCCAGGGCGCTCTTCCGGCTGGCTTCGGTGTTTCTCTTGCCCAAGGTGATCAGCTTCTCGGCCAGTCGTTGGGCTTCCTTGGCCTTGGCCCATGTGGTGGTGATCGACTCGTGCGTGAAGAGGGAGGTGACCAGGTTGCGGAGGAGGGCTTGTCGGTGCGAGGACTTGCGGCTCAGGTGCCGGTATTTGGCGGCGCCTCCGGCCATTGTGCTGGTTTATTTTAGGGGTGGTTGTAGGTTGGTTGGTTGGTTGCTCTTACACCCGGTTGTTGGGTGGAGAGGATGGTGCGGTTGCGAGGTGTATATCCGATCGAAGTGAGGGTGGGATTTGAGTTGGCCGGGTTCGAAGGTGTACAGGGTGGTGTTAGCCTGGTGGGCGAGTGAGTGGGTTGAGGCTCCAGGCTGGGTCTGGTGGTTATCGATTCATGCGGTTGGAAGTTCTGCGAGAGAAGCAAAAGATGGATTCGGCTTTTGCCCGCATCGGCCAATCGGAGTGCGGTTCGACGGCTGGCCCCGGTCCGCGCTGTTGGAATCGCTGCGACTGTTTTACTGGCAATGAAGCGATACTTCTGTTACTGTTTGCAACTTTCCGGGGTAAATCTACTTTTTAATGTTCTTGTGAATTGAGAATTGCTATTGTGTTGTCGCCTGTTCGATCCTTACATCCAATCCAGCATCTCGACTAGGTACCTTGCCAGTCCGCTACGTTCTTCCGTCCTTCCTTCCTCCCCGCCTGCTTGACTGCTCCGGTCAATAGCACTGCACCAGGCTTGCGATACTCGACCTGGTGCTCTCCAGCCAGTCACGGACAATTTTTTTTCCAAATGGGCTTCTTCACAGGATTTGTGAGTTAGACTCCACTCTCGCCACCTGTTTCACGGACGGAGGCTATTCCTCGATCCTAGACCTTCCTACACACGTCGTCCACGAAACTGACCCCAGCTCTTTAGGCGAGTGGCTTCGCCCTGACCACGACCGTCCTCTACCTGACCGTCCAAGTCCATCGGTACAACCGGCTCGAGCAACGCAACGCGATCCGCGACCAGACCCGCGCATTGACCTGGCTGGCCTCGTCGACCGGCGCCTACGATCGCCGCTTGATCCCCAGCGAGACCGAGAAGCTGCAGGAGCTGCCGCCCAAACGCACCCAGCCGACGCTGTCCGAGTTACTCAAGCACCGCTGGAACACGGAGGTGAAAACCCTGGCGAACAAGGCCTACGAGGCTAGCTGGGAGGACGTGCGGGATATGGCCGTGGAAGGGTGGAGCTCGGCTGTGAGGCTGGTGAAGAACGAGTAGAGAGAGGATGGATGTGGGTTTTCTTAGGAGGGGTGTTTTTTTCAGTTATGTGTGTTATGCTTGGGCTTGTATGATATCGGGTGTAGTTTGTGTCTCTGATACCCTTGATTTCGTTGTTGGTACTTTGAAAAGTTTGGGATGTTCTTCTACTGTGTTTGTTGCGGATTGATTATTGCTCGTCGTTTTAAAATGACAGAAGTCTGGTGTAGACAAATAATCGGTATTAGTATAGATAGACGCGGCGAAGGTCGGATATTGCCCTCCTCGCACAGTGGCATCCGCCTTTGGTTTGAACCGTCAAACTCCAGTTCCAGCAGTATCCAATCCAGGTCCGTAGCATGAAAGCCACCTGCAGGCGCAATTGTCATACCAGCTGATCTCTTGCCAGAGAGAATCATATAGGTGAGAAAGCTCGAGTGCGGGCCCGCGTCTGCTTCTTCAGCCCGCATCGGCAGTAGTCTCTGTCGCCGTGCCCACACTATCCGTATCGCTCCAGATATCTTGACTCTCCCGCTCCACAGCACGCATAGCCTGGGCGACCTCCTCCAACTTGGCCACGACATCCAGCACGCCATTGTTCACACGATCAAAGTACCGATCGTTAGCCTCGCGTCTCTCGCGCGCAAGGAGAATATCCTTCTCCGTCTCCTCATCCAGATTCCGCGCCGCGCCGCCATCCTCCACGGGAGCCGGCTCCCCGGAGACGCCAGGACCCGCGACGCCCCGCGCCCCCTGTCCCTGCGAGGTAGCAGCAGCAGCAGCAGCACCCTTGGCCGGCGGAGCCGCCTCTTTCGCATCCGCGGCTCTGTCATCCGCGGCCTCGCTGCGCGCCCACGCCTGCGCGAGCTTCAGCTGCTTGGCCCGGAGATCCTCCAACGCCTCGGAATGTTTCTCCCCGAACACATGCTCGCCCGTCGTGGCACTCAGCTCCACCTCCGAGAGCGCGCTCTGCATCTCTTGCCAGATCGCATCGGAGCCATCGATGTCCCCCTTGGACTGCTTGCGAGTGAGGAAGGGTGAGCCAAAGGTGCCGCCGCCAGAGGCCTCGAGGCCGCCGCGGGCGGGCCGGTTCCGATGCAGCGGCGGCGATTGACTGCCTCCTCGGCCTGGTCCAGGTTCCGGCCCTGTCCGATCTCCGGGGATGACCCCGACTGCTGCAGGGGGCGGCGGAATCGAGATGTTGGAGGCATTGTGGGAGGGGGGCCCTTGAAACAGGACTGGTGGGGGAAGTCGCTGGGAGCTTATCTTCCGGAGGGTTTCCATGCGGGGATCCATCTTGGGATCCATGCGGAGAGTGTTGGAGGCCATTGTGGTCTGGGGGTTGGGTTCGATTGTAGACGGGTAATTAGAATTTAAGGCATTATACTTGGGACTTCGGGTAATAGCCCAAGTTTGTAGAGTGAGAAGATCAATAACCTGATAGCGATGAGACTGTAGACTGTAGACTGTAGTTAACAAGTTTTGTATAAGTCCGTCAGGTACGGATTGATAACATGCATCATGTTCATTCCGGGGGTCTTATCGTTATCGACTCTCCTTCCAGAATGGAGAAAATCAGCAGGCGGTGAGAAGCCGCAGAATCGGGACGGAGAAAAGGTCAGCCGGGGGCAGGCTCGCTTAGCGGCCGTTTAGGGCGAAGGCGCACAGCAGAACATTTTCGATCTAGTTGAGCGACCGCCGGCCGTGAAAGGAAGACCCCCCTTTGACCTTTCGACTTCTCGACAACCATCCGCCCATCCAGCCTTTCGGCATCTCCATCAGTCGGTACGTATTGGCGATTTTCCTATCACTGCTATCATTCTCTGCGTCTGGTTTTCCATGTTCCCCCGTTTTTTTTGCGTGAGATCGAAAGTGCAACCCGCCCGAGAGAGAGAGAGAGAGAGAGAGAGAAAAGAGTCCCGCCGCCGATAGATATCTCTCGCCGTCAATATCCATCAGTACGACACTTCGATATCCATTCCGCCCACGTCTATTCAATCACGAGCAGCAGGAGGATGCATCTGAAACAAATATCAAGAAGAGGAGCGATCCGATCGAATACCGAGCAATGAAAAGAAGGACGGCATCAACGGAAACACACACCGCAATGCACATTTTCACGATCCGCGCATATTCTCGGGGACTTGGAAAACTAGGAATCACGCGATGCATGGCCCAAGAAGAAGACAGGAATGACATCTAATGCTTTTTTTTCCTGCTACAGTTTTCATTCGCACATAATCCGACAAGATGGGTAAGGGACAGCCCCGTGGTTTGAACGCCGCCCGCAAGCTCGCGACCACCCGTCGCGAGAACCGTTGGGCCGACTTGCACTACAAGAAGCGCCTTCTCGGTACCGCCTACAAGTCCTCCCCCTTCGGTGGTGCTTCCCACGCCAAGGGTATCGTCCTCGAGAAGGTCGGTGTTGAGGCCAAGCAGCCCAACTCCGCTATCCGCAAGTGTGTCAAGGTCCAGCTCATCAAGAACGGCAAGAAGGTCACTGCTTTCGGTGGGTCATCCCTTTTCCCTATTGCTGGTTGCTGTGTGTTGTGCGGTGGTGGATTCTCGGAGACGATCATCTGGATGAATCCATGGGTTGTGCCATGAATGCGATGTGGAGGACAAAAGGTGGCGACAATGAGAATCTCCATCGCAGCAGTCACACAGAACCACAAACCACATATCTGAATATCCCGCTGACCTTGAACCCCCTCCACAGTCCCCAATGACGGTTGCTTGAACTTCATCGATGAGAACGACGAGGTCCTCCTCGCCGGTTTCGGTCGTAAGGGTAAGGCCAAGGGTGATATTCCCGGTGTCCGTTTCAAGGTCGTCAAGGTCTCCGGTGTCGGTCTCATGGCCCTCTGGAAGGAGAAGAAGGAGAAGCCCCGCTCTTAAGCAACCCACCACCAACGCAACGAAAGATGCTGGCTGCTACTCCGGGGAATCATGATATTTTTTCCGGAGGGGATCTCTCTCTTGGGGGGGCCCATTCCATAGCAAGAACAAAACGATCGGCTTGGGAGGCGAACCTTTTTTTTTCTCTTCTATGGTCTGGAACTTTTTTCCTTTTTTTGTAATGGTTCAAAGCAAAGAAAGGGCTGGATTGAGAAGACACCCTGCAAATACAAACCCAATATTTGCGGTTTCCACTACGATTGTTATATCCATAAAAACATGGCGCCATGATTGATTTCCTTGGGAAGGGCCCTAAAATATCAAATTCTTCAAAAAAACATACTTCTGTATTCCTGATGTAGTACTGCTTGTAGATGTTCGATTATACTCAACCCGCATTCGATGAGTTCCTTTTGTGTAACGCCTTGGGTATCGTCTCTTATATTGTCTATGATAATTCCTTACGCCTTTTATATCCATTTTGGCATGTGACCTGTTCCAGCCATAAGAAATCCAATTGTTCATAAACCCGCTTTTTTTGCCATTGTGATTCTTTTTCTTAATTGATTTTGCCTTTCTTGGCCAGGCGTTCAGACACTGATATCCTCCTTGCGGTAGTGATCCGACACAATACGGTACAGATAAGATGGCGCATGTCCTCCCCTAAATAAGAAGTAGTGGTTAGTACTAGGTCTAAAGGGGGGGTCACAAGAAGGGGGACGTACAAGTTCGTAATGTAGAGGTCAATCAGTTCCGCCGGAACATAGTCGTACAGTGGGTTCTGCACGTCAATCTGATCCACCAAGTCGCCATCCTCGTAGCTGATGACCTTGCTGGCGTCTCCGTACTCGATCAACGAGTCGAAGTCAAACGGATAGACCGGGCTCAACTTGTACACCCCGCTCACCACCACAACAGGGGTCTGATGCACCTTGGCGGCGCGAGCGATGACCCGAGTACCGGCGGAGGCGACCAGTCCACCGTTGGCCAGGACGGAGTGCGTGCCTAGAATAACCTTGTTGACACGGGACATGAGCGCAAATACCGCGGAGTCGGGGATGAGGATGACGGTGATGCCCAGAGCAATCAAAGGCTTCTGGAAGGATTCGGTGCTCAGAAGTTCGTCGTCGTGGGGATTGGCCCCGCTGACGGTGGCGTGCGTCGCCTCGTGGTTGTTGGGGAAGGCTTCGGCATGTATGACCGTGAACTTCCGCTTGGCCGCGGCTTTCAGCAGGAATTTCTGGACCGTGGTCGATGAGGTGTGAGTGAGGATGATTTCGTTGGAGTGGATGTGGTCCAAAGCATAGGCCGCAATCTGATCGTCGACCTGGGTCAGTTCGTCGATGATCTCGCTGATACCGTCCAGAACTTCAGCCCGAATGTCTTTGCTGGGCGCGTGGCCTAATAGCCGACCGGAGGGCGATGCGGACACAGGGGTTCCAGGCAGGGAGCCCTCGGTGTCGGGGTGCGAAAGCAGACTAAACATCGAGATCGGGGCGGCTGTCAGCGCAGGCAAGGGTTGTCTCGATGCGCCACGGTCGGAGCCGTCATGGCGAGCGGAAAGAGCATCGGTGGGATCTATGGTGTCGTTCGTCATCAGTCCCGGATTCGTCTTACACCAGACATGCTACAAGGCAGAGGCCATACCGTCGAGACCACGAGGGGTTTGAGGTTGACTTTCAGAGCCAGCTTCGCTAAGGTTGAAGTCGCCCTCACGGTCGTCTTCGGCCTCGTCACGAATCAGTCCGAGCACGCGCCTGACGATGTTGCCGACCACCATCTCCCGGGGCTGAGCTGCCATAAGCCGTCTTCCAACATGCTGCACTCTCTCAATCAACTTGTTGGCGTCGTTCGTTCTAGAGGCCGATATCACACCGCGCAGAAGATAGGCGGTCGCAGTAGCACACGATCTGGAATGGCGGATTTGTCTGCGCTTAAGAAGCCTGAGGGTATGTCAGTACAGCGTCGATATCGATTGCAGCCAGCCGTCGCATGGTGAAGGAGACGTACGAGATCAGGTTGTCAATGGATGTGTCAATGTGGTTGGTCTTCAATGTCTTGAGGAAGGACGCCAGGCCGGGCGTCAAAGGCCCCGAAGTAGCAGGCATTTTGTTTTTGACGTTCAGAAATTAGGCTGCCAAGTGCTCTGATCCGGCGATTCAAAGTCTAAATGAGACGGAAGGTCACCAAGCTTCAATGGTGTGTTGAGCTATATGCAGCATTAGTGAGGCAGAACGGTGGAGTCATCGGGTTGGTCGCACAAGTCGCATACCAGGGAAACTCGTTGGGAAGTGTTAGCGCACTCGCAACAGCTGTCAAGCTCGCAAACTGGTCGCCTCAAGAGTAATTTTCCGAAGAAATGAGGCTTCCTTCTGGAAAACGAAGTTGAGGTAGGTGAAGAGAGGAATGTGCAGCCGAGCAGGGAGAAAAGAAAGAGGGGAGGGGAGGGGAGAGTAGGAGGAAGTGAAAGGCGGAAGAGCCAGTCAGTTTAGTAGTGGAAGTGGGATGTGACGGAGGGAGATTTTGCCCGCTCGGCCCAACGAACCGGCGCAGTAGCTGTACATACAATCAAATAATACATACGGTAACTATGGATTGGTTGCCTTCCCTCCTCCTCTTCCTCCTCCTCCTCCTCCACCACCTCTTCTCTCTCTCTCTCTCTCTCCTCCTCGGCGTCTTCCTCAACTCTCCTCACTTTCTCTTTCTCTACCCCTTCCCCTTTTCTTTAAAACTCACACCCTCGTCCTCGACTGTCTGTATATAGTCGTATTACAAACGTTACGAGGGGTCTTCCTATCCTCCTTCTCCCTCACTCCATCCCGCTTATCCGCCCGTCGGTTAGGCCAAGGACTACGGCGACGGCTATCACTCACCAATTTCGCCCAGCCCAAAACCAGTTGGGGTCAACCGTCAACAGTTATCAGCACGGGTTGTCGACTGGCGCATTGAGGTCGGTACAGCTCGATGTCTTTCCTCTTCCGTGCATCGCATTTCTACCTCCAGTTGCTTCGTCACTTGACCAGGTGCTGACCGGCGCCTCCGCTCAACATAATTAGACACCTGCGCCAGCCCGGACACCCGTGGGCCACGTCGGAAGATGAACTCGCTGAACATCTTGTCGTCCCGAGTGATTGGCCAGCCTACCAGTTCCAGTAGAAGTCGTCAACGATCTCGATCGCAAGGAGAGATTTCCCGGACAATTGAACCAGGCGACCTCGCCAAGTTCCGGTCCTATAGTGAGAGCAACTTCCATGCTTCGGAACACCATGAGAAAAGCCACGATGAGACGCCCGGCGCGCCAGATGACCTCGAAAACCATGAGTACACGCTTGACGAGAAATCACCATTATTACGAAGTCTATCCAAGGATCGCTCTCTGGGCACAAACCGCACCATAGGACTATTCGTGCACCGGTTCTTCGATGCGATTGCCGAGACAATCAAGTTTATTCTGTCAAGCTTAGCGGCGCCTGGCTTCTTTGTCGTCCACTGCTTTCGCGAAGATGATGGGCATTACTCTCCACTGGCTCCATTCCGCAAAATCGGCCGCTTGGTTCCGGGTCGTTCCAAAAGATCAAGTCCTGGCACGCCAGGCAAAGGAGGGACTCCAACACACGGCAAGCAACGAACCGCGCGGCGACCCAAAGCTCATAGATCACGCGAATCAATTGCCTCGAGTACGTCCGAGTCTGAGGGGGACCGGCGAAGCGCCAAGGGACTCAGCAGCAGTCATTCTCGGTCCGTCAAGTCCAAGTCCTCCAACTCAGAGCATGCACCGGACGACAACGCCCCTCGACGATCTATTCGAATCAAGCTTCATAATGAAGAGGCGTTCAAGCGGAACCGGCAGCGTCGTTCGCAAAGCACGGATCTGGGACAGACGTCGCAGAATGGATCCCAGGGCGCTGTCAATCTCGATAGCTTGAAGTCCCCGACCTCCCCGTCGGTCCATCGAGTCACTCGATATCCGCATTCACCCGTTCCTCCTCGACCTCTGATTCCCCAGCGCATACCTTCTTACACGGCCAACCTCCGCAGCACGAAAAGCCCGCAAAAGACTCTGGTCCTCGATCTCGACGAAACACTCATCCACTCCCTGGCCAAGGGTGGCCGCATGTCCAGCGGCCACATGGTTGAAGTCAAGTTGTCCACGCCCATGACGACCGCTCTGACTCCAGGCGGGCCTCCGACCACGCTTGGTCCGCAACATCCCATCTTGTACTATGTCCATAAACGGCCTCACTGTGATGAGTTTCTCCGCAAGGTGTGTAAATGGTACAAGCTGGTGGTCTTCACTGCGAGCGTGCAAGAGTACGCGGATCCGGTCATCGACTGGCTGGAACAGGAGCGGAAATACTTCCACGCGCGGTATTACCGGCAACATTGTACCTTTCGCAACGGCGCATACATTAAAGATCTCAGCTCTGTTGAGCCAGACCTGAGTAAAGTGATGATATTGGACAATAGTCCTATGAGTTATATTTTTCACGAAGGTGCGTATGGGTTCCCGGATGTTGGGTGCAGCTCGCCCCCCCCACTGACCTTCGATTGCAGATAACGCAATCCCCATTGAGGGCTGGATTAATGATCCGACGGATAATGGGCTGCTCCACCTCGTCCCCATGTTAGAAGCTCTACAATATGTAACCGATGTGCGGGCTTTCCTAGCCTTGCGTAGAGGGGAAACAGAAGCTTAGCACTGACAAAGGGGCCGGAGTGTGGCAGTGACGGAGTGACTTATGGCATTAATATAATAATAAAACCCCCCTTTGCACAGCGAAAACAGGAAAACAAAAAAAGAAACCCTGACCGGAATGGATGTTGTCCAAGCTTGATGTTATTACGGAAATCTTACAATGCATCCATAGTCATTCGATCCCTCTGTCTCTGCTCTTGTAAAGCTGAGAGAGGCATGAGGGAGAGTGATACTATGGCTATTCTCTCTTGAACTTCATTTCCTCTTGCTTAATATCTCGTTCAGCATGCCCATCCATACCCCCGTCTACCGCTATACTCCTGGCAACCACTAGATATATTCTGTCTTGATCTTCTTTCTCGTCCCTGCCACACACTAATCTCTCTGGACTATGTTCGCTGTCGAAGTATTGGCAACACTTCCCACTCGCCTGATAAGAGTGCACATCAGTCTGCACTGGAACAGAAGTAACCTCCCTTTACCCTTAGCTCTTGTCCTCCCGTCCCGATCAATACTTACCATCTTCAAAACGGTCCCTTCCTTATTTCGATCTTCTCCACGACCATTCAAGAAGGATAGTGCTCGACACTCTATAGGCATGGCAGATCGCCTAGGTATCCAGAGCAACAAGTGTATCACATGAGAAAGAAAATCTCCGCGGAATTCGCTAAGCAGCGTGATGCGAAGCTTGTGGGATTCCCGAGGTTCCGGAATATATAGTCCTCTCTGGCCGCTACCCAGGTGTGTGTTCCATTGACCAAACCATGGACTTGGTGCTCTTGGCATGAGCTTACATGCCTTCCTAAGGGCCGAGATTCAATCCCTTCTGTATTCTACTTGAGCACTCTACAACAGATGGATGCTGATAGTTGACTGATTTGCGTCTAATCGTTGAGGCGCCGGGGGCGGGAAAGAATTGCCCGATTCGGTAGGTTATCCCTCTCGCGGCGCTTATCGGTTACCATTGCACTGGTCCGAGATCGGGGCGGGCAATCTACAGTACAACTAACTGGTGGGGTAAGTGCTGTGACTACTCGAGTAGAATTTCAGGGGGATTTTTGCATAGACGGGGCATGTTCATTCAGAATTGTTTTGCGATTTTTATTCGTAGTTTGGCTAAGTTCAATATGACAGTCTTGTGGATTATTTACAGTCCCTTGGCCTGCTTGGCCTCGGTCAGAGCCTCCTTCAAGGCGGCAATGGCCTTGTCAATGTCCGACCGGGCGGGGTCGGTGACACTGACACCCATGTGGCCGAAGCGGATGTACTTGGTGGCAACCTCCTTGTGCAGACCCGCTGCGAAGATCACCCCGCGCTTCAGCAGACCGGGCAGCACGTCCGGGGGAGCGAGGCCCTCGGGCAGCCAGATGGCGGTCATGGCGTGGGCCTGGTTCGCCGGGGTGGCGGCCACCTGCTTCAGGCCGAGCTCGGCGACGGCAGCCTTGACGCGGTCCGAGGCGTGACGGTGAATGGCGTAGCGCTCGGTGATGGGGCGAGCGGTGATCTGGGACAGAGTGGTGTGCAGGGCGTGGACGAGCTGGGTGGGGGGAGTGGCGAAGTACGAGGGCTTGAAGTTCTCGTAGTTCTGCATGATGGGCAGCCAATTGCCGATGGAGGCGTAGTACGAGGCGGGGGGCGTCTTGCGGGACTTGAAGGTGTCAAGGGCCCGGCCGGACAGCATCAGGATGCTCAGGCCAGGAGGGCAGCCGATGGCCTTCTGGCTGGCCGTCAGCACGACGTCCAGATCCCACTCGTCGAACGCAATCTCCTCGCAGCCGACACTGCACACTCCGTCGACGACGACCAGCGTCTCGGGGCTGACGCGCCGCACGATCTCGGCCACGCGCTTGATGTCGCTCAGCACGCCGGTCGAGGTGTCGACGTGGGTGATGGTGATGATCTTGTACGGCTTCGCCTTGAGCGCCTGCTCAATCTCCTCGAACGAGGGCCGCTCGCCGATGGGGGCCTTGAGCTGGGTGGCATGAGCCCCGTAGGTCTCAATGCAGTTGGCGAACGAATCGGCAAAGTAACCGGTGTGGAGGACCAGGGCATTCTCGCCCTTCTCGATCAGGTTGGACGCTACGACATCCCAGCCCAGAGTACCACTGCCGGAGATGACAAAGGGCTGAGCGGCGGGGTTGGACGATTGGAAGAGCTTGCGCACGAGAGACAAGGTCTCACCGAAGGTCTGGACGAATCCGGGGGCAACGTGACTCTCACTGGAGTGTAACATATAGCGGTTAGTGAGGGGTAAGAGGGAAGGTATGCTTCAATGGCGAACAGTGATGGATGAGGGGGTGTGGGAAGGAGGGGCAATCGGACTTACGCATAGTGAGACATAGACTGGAGGACAGCATCATCAAATTCGATGGGCCCGGGAATGAGCAGGGTGTTGTGGGGGGCTTGGGAAGACATTTTGGGCGGGGGGGAGGATGGAGTGGTAGGAGAAGGAGGGATGGAAGAAGGAACGGAGCGATCGATGGGTTTATATTCGAGGTCGTCTGGCGCGAGGGAGTTCCTCTCGGTCGAGAACGGGGTATTAAGCTCAGGCAGCGGGAGTCGCTGATCCAGGTGTCTGGAGATCAGGCTCAAGCGCTGCTGCGTCCGTTTGGCCGCCAGTTTTCCGAAAGGTCGGCTCTCTACGGGAGAGCCCGCGGGGGAGGGGATTTGCTGGTGACTGGCGTTGACTTGGGCTGCTCGCCGGGAAGAGGAAGAGGAGGAAGAGGGGAAAGGGTCGGGGATCGCCGGGTTCGCTTTCCGGATGGATTTGTTTGGGTGAAGAGTATCGATGGTGTGTGTATACGTACAGTATACTGACGTAGAATTGGAGGTGAGGATGAGGAGGAAGGATAGGATTGTAAGACGATAACTACAAACGGGGAGAAAAGTCCCCAGGTGTGTTGATCAATTGAGGAGATTTTTTCAGCTCTCAATGGCTGGTTTGGTTCCTTTCCCCCTTTGGGCACATTATTTCCCTTTTCCCTTGCCTTCTATCGGCCGTAAAGCGACGGATGCCTCCAACGGGCGGGCCCTGCCGTGGATCAATTGGGGAAGGAATCTAAAGACACATTGAATTGACTCATGGAACTAGTCAGTCTAGTGTCTGAGCAAGAATGAGGATAGTATATCCGAGCAACGATGATTTATTGGCTTGCAGGACTTATGCGAGCCCGCCTACTTGCTCCGTATACTCCGTACTTGCGCAATTGAGGATGGATGACGATGTAAACTGCCGTTCTTACTCCTGGTGGCAGAAATAGGAACAGGTTCAATACTGCCCTGTTAGCATGATAGTGCAAGATAGTTCTCGCTCACTCCTGTTCCTTACTCACTCTTCCTACATCTTTCCAGTCCCTATATCCATCCTTCAACAGCCCAGTAGATGCAGACCAGCACGCAGGAACGCGGCCTTCATAGATGTAAGCAGCCCGGACTAGTCCGAACTGGTCCTGCTTCTAGGGCATAGGGCTGTCAGGCGCGTGGCATCGGCGGTGGAATAGCCTAAGCTTTCCCCGCGCCGCTCCATCGATAGGGGCGCCAGCCTACTCCGTAGATAGTCAGTCGTCACTCCCTCTTACTTTAGGTAGCTTAATTGATATCTCCATCAGACAAGTGTGCAGTCCATACATCTGCACCCCCGTCAGTCGCTTACGCTTATACACCCCATAGACTCATAGCTCAATCTTAACCTGGGCCTTGAGTGACCGCACCGTTCAAAATGACTTCGCGCCTGGTCCTGGTCATCGGTGACCTGTTCATCCCTGACAGAGCTCCCGTATGTTGTTGATCGTCCCCCGCAACAACAAACAGTTGACTGACTTCCGGACCCATCCTGGTATAGGACCTCCCCGCAAAGGTGCGACTTTCTGCTCGGCCGTAACCCATGGCCCTCCTGACAATTGCTACTGACCCTCTATTGACACAATCGCAACACAGTTCAAGAAACTCCTGACGCCGGGCAAGATCGGACAGATTCTCTGTCTCGGCAACTTGACCGATCGCAACACATTCGAGTTCCTCCGGCAGGTGGCGCCCGACCTACAACTGGTTAAAGGCGATTTCGATGTCGATTCCCCCAATCTCCCTCTCTCGAAAGTCGTGACCCACGGCAGCCTGCGTATCGGATTTACGCATGGCCATACGATCATTCCCCCAGGAGATGCGGATGCTCTCTTGATCGCCGCTCGTCAGATGGACGTGGATATTTTGCTGTGGGGTGGTACCCATCGCTTCGAGGCTTTCGAGCTGGAAGGCCGATTCTTCATCAACCCCGGCAGTGCCACGGGTGCGATGAGCACAGGATACTGGGCTGAGGGAGATGAGCCCACACCCAGCTTCTGCTTGATGGATGTGAGTTGCAGATGTGCCCCAGACGGTTGAGACGGCCCGATGCTAATCATCGCTGTAGATCCAAGGAGATGTTCTCGTGCTTTATGTTTACCAGTTGAAGACGGATGCCAACGGGGTTGAGACGGTTGCGGTGGAGAAAGTATCCTACCGCAAGAACAACATCGCACCTTCATGAATTGACGCTTCTATCTATTTTTCTTGTACATAACCATAGATCTGACACGATGATGACTTCCGACTTGTTGGTCGCTCCTTTCCTGCTCCGACGGCACAAAAGCTCGAGTGCCTATACAGGCCTTGCTTCGCAGCCAAGCTGCTGAGCGCATTCTAACTAGAGACCAGGATCGAGTACTGGCTTGCCTGGTCAAGTCAAAGATCGTATTATCACACGATGTGACCTCAATCTGGCCGAGTCTCGTTTAATCTCTCAATGTCAGTTCGTTTCGAATTGCATTGATGGTGGCCGAAAGGCTGTTAGGTTCGTTCTTGCAAGTACTTAGTCTCGCTGTAGTGTGTCCTTGTGATCGGGTATTTCTAAACGCCAGAAGTACTGGATCTGGAAGAAGAGGCTGATGTGAGGGATATTTTCCCACGATACTTTTCAATTTTATTGGCCCCATAATTAAAACCACGAGTGGTTTTAATGTATATCTAGTAGTAGCCAACGATCAGCAATACAGTGATGATCGAAAGCATTTCGCGCGCCGCAGTCCCTTACTCGACTATCGATGACCGAGTCGGCAGCGGATATTCCAGTTGACAAAGAGCTAAACCGGAAAGAGCAGGCAGTAAGTTCGGGGGACAATCAAACGCAAGCATCACGTTCACTCTCCTCCACTTCCAGTCTTCCATTGAATCAACTTTTGCCTTGGTCCTTCTCCCCACCGACCGCTACACACCCAGTTCTGGGAGTTGCATATCGCGCCTATCTTATCGGATCTTGTATTTTTCCAGCAGATTTCCTACCCGCAGCTCACTTGACCAGCCCCAACCCGGCGGGAAGCTATCGGTGCCCGCTCGAGCTTTCACTTTGCGACCCAGTGGTGTAAACGGACACGAACGGACAATCGAAACCCACCACCCTCATTCAACATGGCGACAGAAGAACACAAGATTGAGGATGAGCACCTGGAGCAGCCGGAGGAAGCAGGTGACGATGAGGTAAAAACCGTCCCGTTCGGCTTGAAGCTGCTCGCTGGAATTCGCAGCGCTGGGCTCCCGCTCGCTGCCCTCATTTGATTTACACACTCGCAATGGTGACATTCGTGCTAACCCAAGCATTCTTGTCTATCACAGGAGGAAATTGCGGCGATGAAGAAGCGGGTAGCCGAGATGGAGTCTGAAGCGGCCAAGCTGCGCGAGATGCAAGCCACGCTCGATCAGCAGTCGGAGAGCCTACGCGAGGACAAAGAAGAGATTGACGCCCGGAGTATCTTCGTTGGCAATGTGGATTATGGTGCTTCCCCTGAGGAAATCCAGGCACACTTTCAGAGCTGTGGCTCGATAAACCGAGTCACCATCCTGTTGGATAAGTTCACCGGACAGCCAAAGGGGTATGTTGCAGCGCCTGGAATCCAGTCGTGTCACAAGATTGGCTAATTTTGGACGACTACAGATATGCCTATGTTGAATTTGCGGAGCCCAGCCTGGTAGCCCAGGCCCTTGTACTGAACGAAAGTGTCTTCCGCGGCCGGAACCTGAAGGTACTTCCTCTCGCAATCGATCCACCCTCCCTCCATGATCGATACTGACTGCATACTTTGACGATGTAGGTCGTTCCCAAGCGTACCAACCTGCCGGGTATGACCCGAGGACGCGGACGGGGTGGCTTCCGTGGCGGTCGGGGCCACCGCGGAGGTTTCGCGCCTCGCGGCGGTTATCGCGGAGGTTATCGCGGCCGGGGTCGGGGCTATGCGCCTTACTAGAGAAACGTCCAGCACCGGTTCAGTGTATATGGGGTGATATTCGTTTGCGCAAGGAACAGAGGTCATTGCACGAAGCCCCAGCGCTACTAAGGCGTCTGGGTTGACCATGATGGCCGTGGTAGCTCTGATGCACACGTGTGCGCGTTTCTCGGAATTAAGGGAGGGACCTCTTTATTTTCTAATTGTCTTTGGAGTCAACCTACTGGAATGGACTTTTGTATGATAACCTTTCTGGCAATCTCGGACTGGGTACGGGGCAGACGGGCGGAATACCTGTGATATCATCTAGCTACAGAGAATTGCTTTACGAGCAGGAATTGCCTGCTAACCCACCCCTCAAAAGGACCAGGACGGTCATGACACTACGCTTGTCAAAGAAATTAGAACCGCGCAATAGGAATCTGCACCAGAAAATCAGTCTTCTTGACAGCTTCATCAAAGAGATCCATCATGGATGACTGTCACCGGGTCCCGATCTGTTATGGTCTCGGTCCGTAGAACTGACTAATGAACAGGGAGATGAGGGATGGCGTCACAGCGGTTTAGCCACGGCATGATAACCTGAACCTATGGCCTTATGGCCTCCAATCCGGGTAAGGACCGGCACGGACGGTACTTCAGCCAGTCTAGAGGGCGATGCTGACGAGTTTGTTTAAGGAAGCGGAGCAGAGCAACCGGCATTGCGACGTTCATTGGGTCCCCACCATCAAAGAAGAGTCGTCATGAGAGAGACGATCTGGAAGTTAGGGGGGCATACTAGGTGTTTAACAACTTAGTTGAGGGGGTTTTCTTCTTCTTCCCTTCTCTTCGGTCAATAGAGCCCGAGAGATGTGAGACCGGAGAAAGACAACATGAGTGAATTGGAAATAATCTTGTTGCCTTGTTAAGCAGGCCATCACTGTCCTTTTGAGGCCGGGTGATTGGCTGGAAAACCAAGTATTGTTCTATTTATTCCATCGCCTAGTGTTCGTTCCAGTGCAACCTGCTGTGCCCATGATGCGACTGAAAATCTAATCTGTTCGCCTTCCCTGGTTTGTCGTTTGGGAAATAATGCAACGAATAGTGAAGGTGTACCAAGGGCAAGGTCGCAGGGTATTCATCTTAGTTAGTAGGCGCTGATTACTTCATTACTTCCCATGTTTTCCGGGAAGAAAACTCAGTTGACGGTTTCTTTTGATGTTTGTCCTAGCCCTAAAGGGAATGAATCATGAGAATAGTGCTTGATTCATAGGACATTGGTTTAGGATGAGTAGAATGTCAATCTCAAGAGTGAGTGTGGTGAGGTGGTGTCAAGAAGTGTGAGGTAGTTGTAGTGAAATTCGTAGCTGATCCGCCATTGATGGCTGACTTACTCCTCTCTCTCTCTCTCCCTCAGGCTCTCTTACTACTACGGTACTCTCTCTCCTCCCTCCTTCCACCACCACCACCACCACCACCACTGCACTTCCCCTCCTTTCCCTTTCCCTTTGCCACGACCACAACCACCACCACCATTCACACCACTACCACTCTCTCTTTCACGAATCCTCTGGGAGGTAGGATTCTTACGGAAGATTTTACTTACCGTCTGACTCCAGGCTGTCACTACCTTTTCCTTCTTTTATGAGTATTCTTACTACCTACTACCTACAGTAGTACTACTCTCATCCGAGTCCTCCTCCACCAGTTGCTCCTCCCGGTTCAACCCCTCGCTCGGTCGTGATTGGTTCCGAAGGCGCAACGTCAGGACTGCCCTGCTCAGCCCCATAGAAGTCCGCGCGCCTCCATCGTCAAGCCTAAGTTAGTGCTCGCGCTCACTCTTCTCTCTCTCTTTTCCTCTCCTTGAAACCCGCCTCTTATCGCCGCCTATCCACCACTTTTCCCTCGTCCAATCTATTCGCCTTCGAATCGCTTCCGGATCTTCCCCTCTCTTCCCATTGAGTTGAACAGTTCCAACGCCCTTCAAACCACCCCCGCCCACCGACTTTTCCTTCTTACTACCACGATCACCACCGGTACTCGACTCGACTGCTGTTGTTGGGGTTCGTGCCTGTCGACAGCGGTGGATGCGCACACCGCGAATCACCCTTTGAGGCTTGCCCGGATCGGCTTTTTTGCACCCAAAGGCACTTTATCGCCTGCCCTGATCGGTTCAGTTCAGGATGGGTTCCAACCTGCCTGCGTATGTGCAAGCGTCCCCCCTCTTTCCCCCCTCGTCCCCCCTTGCTTAAAGCGGGCACGATCATTTCCTTGACGAAAAGTGTCATGCGTGCATAATCCGGATTCGAATGGATGCTAATAGAGATCCTTTCTGCAGTCAGCCAAATCTTCGGGTCACAAGTAAGAAGCACATGCCCCTTTGTCGTCTGTCTACGATGGCCCCGCCTACGGATGGATGGAGACTGACGGAGACCGTGATTCTACAGTTATCGCCGCGGACGGTCTATACAAGCGTGATGTCTTCCGTAAGTTCCGCAAGGAGATCTCATCAAGCCAAGGTTTCTGGGGCTGACGTCTTGCAGGTTTCCCCGATCCTTTTGCGGTGGCCACCGTCGGGGGTGAGCAAACTCACACGACATCGGTGATCAAGAAGACGCTGAACCCTTACTGGAATGAGATGTTTGATCTGTAAGGAGCCCCGCGTGGTGCAACTGCTGGTCTCGGAAACTGACGGCGGGGTTCTCTGCAGCCGAGTCAATGAGGACAGTATTCTCGCAATTCAGATCTTCGATCAGAAGAAGTTCAAGAAGAAGGATCAGGGATTTCTTGGTGTTATCAATGTACGGATTGGCGACGTGATCGATTTACAGATGGGTGGTGATGGTGAGTCGCTATGTTCTTATCATGCTGAATATCCGGGGCTGACGCAAGGCATCTGCCTTGTCTGCAACAGAAATGCTCACCCGCGACCTGAAAAAGTCCAACGATAATCTGGCCGTTCATGGAAAACTTATCATCAATCTGTCCACCAACCTCACCACCCCCATTCCCAACCAGGCCAATGGCTTGCACCGTTCACATGCTCAGCCATCGACATCCAGTGGACTTGTCCCATCAGTATCGTCCCCGCACCCTCCTGTCGGTCCCGGCCCGGTCGATTCGTCTGCCGCCGCTTCTACTGCGTCTCTGAACCCCCAGCGTGTTCCCTCAACCCCCCGACCGACCAGCATCATTGCTCCGCCGCCCAATGGCGCCCCGGCCGCACCAGCCAATGGTCAGCAAGGCTCTCGCACCAACCTGAGCTCGTTTGAGGACAGTCAGGGCCGATTGCCAGCGGGCTGGGAGCGCCGAGAAGACAATCTGGGGCGGACGTACTA